GATGGACTTCGATAAAGTGGGAAGGAACGAAATGATAGGAAAAATTGTGTTAAGCAGCAAGAGTGGTCCCTTGGAGACAAGACATTGGAACGACATGATAACAAAGCCTCGCCAACAAGTCGCTCAGTGGCATTTACTTAAAGACTGACACAGGCTAAGGCTTAGAATATTCTAATTTTGTTTGATTAAGCAAAAAAAAAATATTGTATTTTGTTGATAGGATGTTCGATATTGCAAATTTTGTAAGATATTGTCATTTTATATGATTAGTAATTTGTGTTCTGTAAAATTTGTTTTTAATATTAAGATCTCACAAGATGGGTTGCAAAGATGGCGACGTTGTTAAAGATGACGTGATATAATGCAATCTTTCATCTATGTGTTTCATTTTATTGTTTTGAAAAGTATATTTAATAAATTTATCAACTCCATTTTGTCTTAGAAATGTGCACTGATAATGAAATTCTATAGATAAATGAAGCACTGTAAGTTTAAACTTCCTTTAAAACACAACATTAAGTCGGGATAAAATTTCGTTGATTTGTTATCTTAGATAGTTTTGTGGAGATTCAATTTCTTTGTTTTCAAACTAATCCTTTTCTTTATAATTATATACAGTCATATTGAATTTCGTGTCGGATTTAATTTACTTAAAAAGTTTTTAACAAAAAGAAATTCAACAAATTTTATCCCCTACGTATATTCTGCTTAACCTAACATTTTATAAAATCAGCAGACACTCGGAAGGGCAGTCAACCTTTTACAATCTTGAAAATAAATCCAGAGTTATCCCTCTTTAAACACAATTCTAAGCATTTATATCTACAGACATGGGCACTGGAAGATTATTTTACTAAAGAATACAGAGCCTTGCCGCTAGGGTTCGATGTAAGGAACGATAACTCATCATTACTGGAACTTGTTTACGTTCCCAAATTTTTTGATATCGTTATACATGTTTTAGGTAGAGTGAAGACATATATACTCCTCATGTGTGTAGTCAACCGTTTGTGTACAAAATAATGCAAGAAACCATTTTGAGTACCAACTGAAGCAGTCTACGTCTTCTCTATAAACTATAACTCATAAATTGGCACTTTGATCTTCATAGTTGTGTTACCTGTAGTTAAAATACAACATCGTGCAAATCAATTATTAATTTAGATTTTTAAAGATTTCATTTAAGGTATGAATAGATTATAATATTTTGAGAATTTCATGCATATCCATATTTGCAACTTAAAAAAGCGGAAAGGCGTAGATTGATTGATTGATAGTATACTGTTTAACGCCCCTCTCCAGAATATTTCACTGATATGGAGGAATGCTGGACAACTCGCCCCCAAGACAAGTCGCCCCCAAGACAACTCGCCACCTTTTCAAGACAACTCGCCCCCAATTTAGGACAACTCGCCCCCTGTTAAGACAACTCGCCCCCAGGTTAAGACAACTCGCCCCCAGCTTTAGGAAAGCAAATTGGGGGCGATATTTTTTATATAAATGTATATATTTTTTATTAAATATATATATATTTATATTATTTCGATATTTATTTTTATTTTAAGTGTTTCTGGCGTTAGTTACGCTAAAAAATTGTACTCCTCTTCTCACGTGAGGTGCCTGAAACAGAAATATGTTTTAGATGAAATTCATCAATATTTGCATTTATGCGGTCATTATGCCTATATAACATTGCGCTTAAAAAAGGAGAAGATACGATTAATATAATTTTTTTATGAAAATGTTTATTTTTTTTAAAGTATTAAATATATATTTTTTCTACTTAATTATTTTATTACAGATGACAAATTCCAGTCATTTCTTCCTTATATAGGGACCATGTCAAATTATTTTTTCCAACGCAAGCTTTCTTGAATTCTTCATCACTTTAAAGTTTTACTGAAGTTGCTTCGGAGCTTGGATACACCAATTTTTTTATCAACTTACCGTATATACGTAATTTTCGAGGCTTGCATGCTCTAATTCTTCATTACTTTAAATATGCTTTGGAGCTTGGACAAGCCAATTTTTTAACAACTAAATATACGTAATTTTCGGGGCTTGGTTGTCCTAATTGATCATCACTTTGAAGTTCCAAATTACTTGTGAGCTTGGGGATTTCATTAAAATGCTGTCTGCTGTTTTCATTTCAGTTTTCATAAGTTCCCTAAAAGCCGTCGTCAATGGAATATCATTAATATGTCATTAAATAATTAAGATTGTTCAACTTAGAACATTGTACTTGATTTACCTAGACATATTCTACAGATATAAATTTAAAACAATATGATAAATTAAAACGCATTTATTTGCTTTATTTCATAAGAAAAAAGTCTAAGGAAATAAAAAATATTTTATACTGTGTTCACTAAATATATATGAAAAAAACCCAAACAAATAACAACATATTACACACACAATCGTAAATATTAATTTTATTTTACCTATAATAAATATCAATTATAAATCATAGATTAATCTTGCATTTAAAATATATTTTATTGAATAATATATGTCGTTTTTTTTCCTTGCAATACACAATAAAATATAATGGGGACGAGTTGTCTCTACAGTGGGGGCGAGCTGTCCTGAGTGGGGGCGAGTTGTCCTAAATTGGGGGCGAGTTGTCTTAACAGGTGTTGGGGGCGAGTTGTCTTGGGGGCGAGTTGTCCTGATTCCATATGGAGACGTCACCACAGCCGGTGAAGGGCTGCAAAATTAGGCCTACGCTCGGCTCTTTCAGCCTTTGAGCAGGGAGGGATCATTATCGTGCCACACCTGCTTTGACACGGGGCCTCGGTTTATACGGTCTCATCCGAAGGACCGTCCAATTTAGTCGCCTTTTACGACAAGCAAGGGGGTACTGAGGACCTATTCCAACCCGGATCCCAAAAGGGTCAGAAAGGCCTAGAGTATATGCATGTGCAGGTATAAATAACAAATGATAGAACTTTCTTTTTAAAAAGAAAATACGAATGCTTTAAACTGTATGCTTTTCAAACGTGCTGACTTTTACAATTTACTTGCAATAGGCACATATCAATCAACCTTGCAGCAATTTCATTGGATTTAATCTCAAACCTGGATAAAGACATGTGAGTTTTCTTTGTACAGTCATATATTCGTCCTAGCAAATTAATAAGTCTAAGAAATCAGTAAATTTGCAGTTTAAAAAAAAACTTATACATGAATATGTTAAACTGTGTTTGTTCTTTGCAAGTATAACATCCTAAATGTAGTTATAATGACCGAGTACTCAATCTTAAAGGAAGACGAGTAACTAACTGTTTAATCAAAAATAAACATTTTGAAAACCATGCTTATAATGCATAATTTATTTTACATGACTAACAATTTTTACCTAGAAGTTTCAATTACAAGTAACAGTATTTTTAAATGTGAAGAGTATTTGTAACGTACACATAAAAATAAAGCATATATTATAATTTTGTAACAAATGCTATGACATACAGAATACGTAAAATAGATAAAAAAGTAAATATATTGTAAACATTTTAGGCATTGTTTCTTCCGAATTTAAAGAAAGACAAAATACAATAGCATACGCAAAACATAAAAACAGCTCTAAGTCAGCAATGATTAATATTAATTTTTTCATTGAATTTATCTCGACGATGTTGCTTCAAATGACCTGAAGATTTAATTTCAACATAAGTGTTAGTACAAAAATAGATTGAATTAATTCACTGCTTTCAAAATTAACTGTTTAAAATTGCTATAAAATCAACATAATTAAATTAAATACATATAAAAATTATAAAAAAAAGTTTAATGGACACACTTTAATCAAAGACAGGGATTCTGACAGTATACAATATAGAAAATCTAACGTGTCCACTACTAGAGACGTCCTTCAAAGAGTCGACCACAATCTAGTTATACGAGGGGTGATCAAAAAGTTCGCGAACTAATTGAATAATTCCGAAAAAGAAATGATGTGGGGTTTCAGTGTTGAAATTTTTTCAAAGTAGTCCTCTTTTTTTAATGCGCATCTGCAACCGTTCTGCCCATGCGCGAATCACGTGATATAAGCTATCATGTGACATGCTCTTAAGCGTTTTGTCACAGAAGCCTAAAATTTTTTCGGTTTCTTATATTTCTTACCATGCAAGTTATGTCTTGCAACAAAGGCAGTCCATTTGTCAAAAATAGCCTTATCTCTGCAATAGTTTTGGTGGATAATGATATCCTTTTGCAGATTGAGGATGGTGACCATCAAACCCAAGTCCTCTTTCTTTGGAACGTCGTTTATTTCATGTGGATAAAGTATGGGTACCTTCACATTATCATATCTGATATGTTTAAAGTCTTAAGTAAAGTATATTTTTGGAATCTGATCATTATATTATTGTAAAGATATTCATCTGTTTATCTAACTGTAAGTTGGCGGCGATATTTTAAATCAAATTGCTTAACAAAGTACACGTCTCTCCCAGTTTGCTTTCACCGGTCAACAGAACAAACATCATTTTTAAACATCTCCTTTCCTTCATGTAAACAATCAATCAAATTGATAACAACACTAATAGCAAGTATTTTGTCTTCATAAATCGTGTACGAATTATTATAAACTTCTACAAAGGAATTTCTAAGATATACGTTTAACTTAACAGCCGTTCGTTTCTCGAATACGACTGAGTCAACCATTTTTTGTCACAAATGATCTACTTAATGACGTCATTTTCACATTGTGACGTCACAAACACGGGGCAAAACGTTCCATACCATATGCTTTTTATAGAACATATGTATGGCTCTATGTATATTTCTTTCTGATCGGAATTGCGGTTTCGTAAATATAGAAAAGTTCGCGAACTTTTTGATCACCCCTCGTACAAGGCACAATAGGTTAAAAATCATTTTAGTTATTCCAATTTTTATCTTTACTTTAATACAAATGCAAAAAAATATAACTATAAAAAAGTTAATCTACAATGTAGATATCTTTTAAAATTTCAAAACGTTATGAAAATTCATGTAAACTCTTTCTCGAACGGGGGTAGCGCTATTAATGTAAAATAACACAGAAATTTCTTATTTCAGTTTGTCGTCGTGAATTGGTTTAACTTAGATATCAATGGTTCTCCTCTCTGCATCAGGATGCATCCCCTTTTTAATCACTGATGTTTGTGAAATATATCCGTTTCTCATGAACCTGTAGAAACAACAGTTAAATAAACTTCTCAACGAAACATAAAATATATATTCCGTTTGATAATCACAAGTATTTTACTCACCCTATTTCTGCATCTTCAAAGCTTTAATTTCTTTTTCCAAAGTCCCATCACTGAGTCTCATTATTGCCTACACGATGGTAGTAAACAAAATGCAAGTTAATGTCGTCCGACATACTAGAGACCCTGAACGATACCTATGTACTGAATGTGTTTTAAGATTTCAAAATAAATTCAATTTCAGTTTAGTGCACAGGATATCAAGCTTGCAAATGTCTTTATAAATAAGATGACGTACACGTACGATGTATTTATAAGCTGAAAATCTATTCTGAAATCTAAAATGAAATATTTGGAAATAACGTAAAGTATTCAAGCTCAAAAGTAAATTTCACAATAAGATCAAATTATGAAACAGATGTGGTATCTTTTATCTTGAGCTAACTGGTATATATATATTCTTATATTTTGCTTAAGAGTTTAAAAGAAAACTTCCTTCATAATTTTGTTAGGAGGTGAAAAGATATAAAAGAAATGAAAGAAAACCGACATCATTAACAGTGTTTTGTTTTTACAACCATCCATTAAAAGAAATGCTAAAACACAATTGTTAAAATGTATCAAAGAATATTCAAAATATTTAAGAATTCCTTTTAATAATATGCTTACCAATATTAACTCATAATGTTCAGGGGATACAAGTTAATTTCGGCGAAAGATTAATTTATGTGTATTTCCAAAATCTTATTTCATATGAAAAGTGAATATAACTTCTATGATGCAAGCACGAGTTAAATTTGGCGAACTTTTCTTCAAGACCAAATATGCAAAGGTCAGGGCAATACTTACACCCTTTAAAACAAATCTCAATTCAAAATCCTGGAGCTCAGGGTCTCTTACAATAAAATATAAAATGTTTTTGAGTCACAATATTTTTTTCTAATTTTGCAAAGACATTGACCTATTCAATATGATATAATTTAGTTTTTTTTTTTGAATTAAATTTGATAAAACCAATATAATTTTAAAAGATGTGTTAACCTGAGATAAATCCTTCCAGAAAATATCCAGTTCCTCTTGCTCCATTGTTTTGTCTGTTTGATGTACCACCATGTTTCTGTAATGTCGTATTCGTTCGACATCATCCGTTTCACTTTTCTTTCCTACCTCTGGTTTGTTCCCCCAGCCTACCAGTGGCTCCTGAACATTTAGTCCGTAGTTTCTCAATAGTTTATACATAATCGTCACGTCAAACGCTGAAGAAGATGGACTAGTCCCATTGGCTGGAGAAAAAAAAAGAATATGATAGAAAGTCTTTCACTTCATATTTCAAATATATTTATCAAGTTGTCTTATCAATATTTTAAAGATAATATTATCACATTTTTGTGGTCACAATGACTACATTGACTAGAACATAATATTTTAATTTTTTAAGCTTCTTATATTAAAATAATAAGACCTGGGGTTAAATGGTGTATGGATTTCATTTGTTACTCAATTATTTTTATTTAAGTACTAGTCCGTGTAAAAATCATGCAAAAGTGATATTTGAGTGATACACTCAGGTTCTCAGAATTCAAAGATTTTCCACACATAGATTTCTCTTACCTATGATCCATGTGTGTAAAATAAAAAATGTTTTGGATCATGGTTACTATGGAAACCTGATCAAAGTAATTTCCTTAGCAACCAGCCAATTTTTCTATCTGAAGGCACTGAAAATCACTGATCTTTAAAGCCTGAAATTATATATAAAATCTTGAACAATAATTCTCATTTACTGAAATAATAAAGACACACACTTTATTTGTTTAAAACACATAAGACATTGATATTTTATCTGAAGCTAGTACTTTGGTAGACATTAGGATATATGTATGTTTTTGCTTTTTTGCTGATTCAGCATTTTCCTTGATTTTGACAATATTCAAGGTCAATTTAAAAAAAATACCAAGCTAATACAGATTTTGCATGACTTTCACATAAAAGTAGAGAACTTTCTTTTTTACAGATTGACTTTGAAAGCGTGGGTTTTTGAAAAATCCTATTCGTTGCCTAGCAACAAAATTGGATGTTTTGATAACTTAAAAGTGAAAAATGGTAAGGGTTGGGTCAAAAATCTTATGAATTTTTATCTTTTTGTGGCAGATACAATTTTTCAAGTAAGAGAAAATAACTCTTATATAATTTTAAAAGGAAAGAATAATTTATAATCATTAATCTCCATGGCAACAGGAATTTTTCCTTAGCAACAATGCAAAAACAGTTATTTTTTCGCCCTTTTAAAATATTATATTAGAAATAAATCGACAATTATTCTCAAAATTGTAATTAGGCAAACTGTCCATTTAATATGGGTTTGAAATAAGTAAATTTTACTTTATTAACCCATAGCAACAATTCTGAATACCAAGCAGCCAATTTTGTAACAACCTTACCTTTTTACATACAGTAATTTATTTTTGAAGTTGAAATAATATTTTCCAAAAAAGGGCCTTCTGAATGAAAAATAGAAACAAATAGATACAAGTAGTATATATCAAAATACCTCTGTTGATGAAAAGATTCCATAGAGTAACTAATTCTTGGGTTGCCATGGTAATAAGTTGCACACTGGCTAAAAAAACTTTTTGTTTACAAAGTACACTACAGCTGTACTTGGCCCACAGTTTTTGCTATGGGTTAAACTAACTGGTTATTCAAGTACCTTTAGCATTTGTTTTTCTACAAAAAGTATATTTTTTATGATTACAATGGATATAATAACGTGATATTGATTTAATGTAGCTTAGGTACTATCCTATTAGCTGCAGAACTGTAGCTCTCTGCTTGAGAAAATTCGGACAGATAAAGCAGAGAGCTACAGATCCAACCGTTGTAAAAACCTTCGATTTACGCCGACGATTTTTTGTCGCTCACGTCGGGTATTTTTTCTTCTATTTTATAATTTCCTCAGCTTTAAAAGGGTATTTTATAATTATAATCATACATTAAACTTAAATTCTTGATAATTTACTTACCATTCAACGCTAACAACTGGCTGTTTTTGGTTAACTTTTTTAAACCAACAAACTATGAAACTACAAAACTATTTACATGACTGTTTCGGACCGTTAAAAGGTAAATAAACTTTAATAAATTATAAAAAAAAAAATAATAAGAGTTAAATATGTAATTAATTATAGGATACAATTCTAAAAGCCAGAGAAAGTTTAAACTACACAAAATAAATTACCTGAAGTAGCGACAAAAAATCGTCGGCGTAAATCGAAGGTTTTTACAACGCTAGGATCTGAGGCTCTCTGCTTCATTTGTCCGAATTTTTTCAAGCAGAGAGCTACAGTTCTGTAGCTACTATTCTTTGTTAAAGATAAAGGCTCTCATTAAGCTTTGTTTAATTTTACAGGCAAGGACATCTACGAATTTTTGTGAAACCTCGTTAAGATTTCTCTAAAGGTTGAAACTTATTTATGACCTTTTTTATGTGAAAATGTCTATTGGTTTTGAAAGTATCTGGTAATCAATCGCTGTACTTTGAAATGGAAGATTGATTGATTGTATGTTGTTTAATGTCCCTCTCGAGAATTTTTTTTCATTCACACAACATACAGCATTATATACATATTTCAAAAGAAACAGAATGAAGTGTTTCTTTATTTTAAGAAAGAGAGAGCAACAGAGAGAGAGACAGAGAGAGAGAGAGAGAGGTGAGCAACAGAGAGAGAGAGAGAAAGAGCCTCTCGAGAATTTTTCATTTTTATGGAGACGCCACCACTTGCCGGTGAAGAGGTGCAAATTGTATCCTAAACTCGGCATTTACGGCCCTTTTAAGGCAGTGATGGATCTTTTTCGTGCCGGCACCTATTGTGACATGGGACCTCGGTTTATACGGTCTCATCCGAAGGACCAGTCTCCACGTCCCACAGTGGAATTCGAACCCGCAACGTAAGGATCAGCTCCTTACTTTTCATCTCTAGAGCAGATGCTCTAACGACTGCGCCACGCGGGCGACTGAAATGGAAAAAGACATTACCATATCACTATTTTCTAATACTTACAAACAATTCTTTTAAAGAGAGAGGTGAGGTAGCGCTGTAGCAATCATAAAAGACAGAGATAGATTTCAGAACCACGGGAACTTTAATTTGCTGAATTTATAAATTATTAATAAGAAGGTACTTAGGGGGGTGGTGGTGGTCTCCATTCAGAATAATGAATTCTAGAGTGGACTTGACAATGACACAGCTCAATAACTCTGCTATATAAGCATTCTGTGTTTTACTGTTATTTCAATCTGGGGTGAAAAATAAGAGACCAATAGAACAAATGGGCACCTAGTTTATAATATTCCAGTGCCCTACCATTTTGTCCTTGCATCTTCTTGGCTCTTTCCAGCAAGCTAAAAAAATAGCCTAGGTTATACTAGTAATTCTGAACTTGCCAGAATGATCAAGTGAGGTAGTAAAAGCTAGGTACAGTATTTATTATAATTTTAGAAATGACTGATCTCTTCAGTCTTGGCATTATAATAACTAAGAATTGATTGAAAAGACTGAAAATAATTAATATAGAAGAATATCTAATGATATTTGAGTAACTGTTACTTTATATACATTTTTATGCCCCCACCCCACCCCGTAAACGAATAAACGAAGTTTCGGGGGGTATATAGTTTCTTTCGTGCCCGTAGGTCTGTCTGTCTGTTTGTCCGCAATTTGCCCATTACGTTTGATTTAGTGGAGCTATGACTTTCATATTTCACATGTGTATTCCTTGTGATAAGACCTTTCTTTGGGTACCACCAAATATGACCTTGGAGTTTGAACCGCTTTTACACAAAAATTCCAAACTTTTACTTTGGTCATATCTTTTGAACAATAGATACCAGGACTTTTATACTTTACATATGTATTTTTTGTGGCAAGACCTTTCATTGAGTACCAACAACTTTGACCTTTTGACCTTAGAGATTTCCGTACTTAAGAAAAAACTTTAACCTTGGCCATAACGTTTGGACAGTAAGGGCTTTCATACTTCACATAAATGTATGTTATCCTTGTGATAAGGCGCCTCACTGGATATCAAGAACTTTGACCCTTTGACCTTGACATTGGAATTTGACCTACATTTCAAATACAACTTTGAACTTAATTTTTGAAAGGTAAGAACAAAGGTTTTCATATTTCCAGTATTTATATCTTGTGACAAGACCTATAATTTGATATCAAGATCCTTGACTTTGGAGTTTGACCCTATTTTACACAAAAAATCCAAACTTTTACTTTGGCTCTAATTTTTAAACGGTAGATACATGTACTTAAAATTTCAAATATCAATTCTTTGTGGCAACACCTATCATTTTAAACCAACAATTTTGACCTTTTGACTTTTACCTTGGACATTTCCATACTTACCAAAAAACTTTGGACATAACTTTTGAACAGTAAGGGCTAGGTCTTTCATAATTCTTGTAACAAGACCTTTTATTAAATATCAACAATTTTGACCCTTCGACCTCGGACTTGGATTTTGACCTACTTTTTACAAACTTTAACATTGGGCATAACTTATGAACAGTAAGAGCTAGAGTTTTCATTCTTCACATATGTGTAATCCTTGTGACAAGACCTTTCATCAAATATAAATATATTTGACCTTGACCTTGGAGTTTGACCTACTTTTTACGAACTTTAACCTTGGCCATAACTTTTGAACGGTAAGGGCCAGCACTTTCATACTTCCCATATATGTAATCCTTGGAACAAGGCCTTTCTTTAAAAACCAACAACCTTGACCCTTTGACCTGGACCCTGGAGTTTGTCCTACCTTCAAAAACGTTAAGCTTTGAACAGGTGGTGTTAGGTTTTATATTTACAATTGTATTTTTTTTCTATGTTTTACCCCAGAAAACTACATTAGTTCAATATGCACTACATTACCCTCTGTGCCTTTGTAAAGGAAACAGAAGTATATGTTTGATTGTTTCTTAATATGATAATTATATAAAATCAATTCGTCTAATCATTTGTGTGATTATTATTGAAAGCGATAGTCAAGATATTTATTCATGAACTGTCAATTTTCAATATGCATTTTGATTTCATATTACATGTAATTTCTTCATTTTGAGGAGAGAGAAATGCGTTATTTTGTAGAAAAAGGAGCCAATAGGCCCACATTACTCAAGCACTTTTGTCTTGAAAGAACAGAAATCAGATCAGTTTGAAATGTCTACGGGAGACAAACTTGAATTTACAGTACCTTAAGATGCTTCCATTTCAATATTACTAATCACAGTTTTGTTGTACTTGAGGGGAAGAATTTTCAAAATACCTCCCAATATTCTTTTGTAAACTTTGACCCCTTGTTGTGGCCCTGAACTACCCTTGGGTGTCATTAAATCTACACTACGTAAGGATACTTCTGTATTAATATGACTTATAATGGTTTTGCTGTTCTAAAGAAGAAGTAAAATATTTGGGCCCCTGTTGTGGCTGTGCCCAACAGGGGTCATGTTTTGAAAAAACTTGATTTTACACTACCTGATCACTGGCGGATTTAAGAGGGGCGTTGGGGGCGCACGCCCCCCCCCCCCTAAAATTTTCAAAGTGTGATGTGACTTATATTCATAATACCACATTTTGGTTCAAAACTAACCAAACAACTGTTATTCTGCCTGGTTTTACTCTTAAAATACACAAAAAACCAGGAGCTTCCGGGGGCTGCGCCCCCTGGTCCTGCACCATTCAAAGTATGATATGACTACTATTAAAGACGTCGTACTTTGGTACATCACTAACTTATACCACTATTAGTGAGTAATAAGTAAGTAAATCGTTTATTATAGTGGCATACAATTATAATTCAAACATCCGGACCTATATGCCACTTTTAACAAAAATAATTGAAAAATATGCAATATTATTTTGCCTGGTTTTACTTTTAAATACACGAAAACACAAGAGCTTCCTGGGGCTTCGTCCCCTGGACCCCCACCAGGGCTTCGCCCTGGACCCACTGATGGCCTTAAGGCGGCCCCCAGACCCCTTGCCTCAAAAAAGTTATCCACGCCCCCCTAACCACAAATCCTGTATCCGCCCGTGCTGATGATACTCTTCTATATGTCTAATTATGGCTTAGCGGTTCTTGAGAAGATTTTTTTAAGATACATGTATTTCCTATATATTCCAATTGTATACTTTAACCACCTGTTGTGGCTCTGCCCTACCCACAGGGGTCATGATTTGAATAACATTGAATCTCCATAACCCGAGGATACTTCTGTGCTTAATCATGGTTTTGCTGTTCTCGAGAAGAAGAATAAAAAGACATTTTCTATACATTCATACGTTAAACTTTGAACTCCGCTTCTGGAAAGTTATGGTGAAATGGTTCTTAATTAAGAAGATACAAATGTGAAAAGTCTACAGAAAAACAGACAGGCAGATACCTGAAATGTTTCTAGAATGTAAAGCTGTATAATTTTTTAATAAGAATTTTTAAATGATGAATTAATTTCAATGATAATATTGTTTTACTCGAAACATTAGTACATTTCAAAATTTGGTTATATTACGCAGTTGCTAAGCAACACTAGCTTCAAAGCGTACTCATGGTAACCATAAAAATATATAGTTTCTTAAATTATGAATTTTAAAGCGTTCTGTGTGCTTGCTTATTGAAATGCTGGCAAAAGTATTACTAGTAATTATTAATGGAAGCTAAAATTTCAAATATTTGGTCACAGATAGTTTGCTTTCTGGTCATTGTGCATTAAGTTGCCATGGCAACCCAAGTATAATTTGATTATGGAATCTTTGTCATCCATACAAATGTTTTGTTACATAATGATATTGTATCTGAAGCTACTTATTTTTTCATTTATAACGTCTTTTGTGGAAGATCTCATTTCAGCCCTTAAAATTTAGCGAAAAAAATGCCTGAATGTAAAAGTAAATTGTAGATACAAAAGTGGTCGTTAAGTGTTCAGAATTGTACCCATGAGTTAATAAAGTACCAAAATAACTTTATCAGACCCATATTTAATTGACATTTATGCCCATTCGCATTTTTAAGAAAAAAATATCTATTCGTATCTATCAAAATCTATACCAAAAAGGCCAAAAAATAACTGTTTTTGCATTGTTGCTAGGGAAAAATTCCTGTTGCCATGGAGATTAATGATTATAAATTATTCTTTCCTTTTAAAATTATATGAGAGTTATTTTCTATTACTTGAAAAATTGTATCTGCCACAAAAAGATAAAAATTCATAAGATTTCTTACCCAACCCTTTACCATTTTTCACTTTTTAGTTATCAAAACATTCAATTTTGTTGCTAGGCAATGAATAGGATTTTTCAAAAAACCCACGCTTTCAAAGTCAATCTGTAAAAAATAAAGTTCTCTACTTTTATGTGAAAGTCATGAAAAATCTGTATTAGCTTGGTATTTTTTTTAAATTGACCTTGAATATTGTCAAAATCAAGGAAAATGCTGAATCAGCAAAAAAGCAAAAACATACATATATTCTAATGTCTACCATAGTACTAGCTTCAGATAAAATATCAATGTCTTGTGTGTAATAAACAAATAAAATGCATGTCTTTATCACACCAGTAAAGGAGAATTATTGTTAAAGATATTATCTATAATTTCAGGCTTTAAAGATCAGTGATTTTCAGTGCATTCAAATAGAAAAATTGGCTGGTTGCTAAGGAAATTACTTTGATCAGGTTTCCATAGTAACCATGATCCAAAACATTTTTTTTTTTTTTTTACATACATGGATCATAGGTCAAGAGAAATCTATGTATGGAAAATCATTGAATTCTGAGAACCTGAGTGAATCACCTTTTGCATGATTTTTATATGGACTGGTACTTAATGCTTCATGCAGTAGCAGATTAAAAATGGATTTTTCTTTATGTTTTGGGTGAATGCAATGAATGTATTAAATATACATGATCATGATGAACATTGTAGTTATATCTTTAAAATATATCGCGTTTATTTGCAAAAATGAAAGGAAATTTTCTCATCGTTTTAAAAAGAGCATATTATTCACAAGAAAGGTATCAAACTTGAAATATCTCACTGATTATCATGTTAAACAACATGCCCTCCATTAAATGCTGACCCAAAGAAATAAAAGGTTTGTATATGTAGAATTAAAACTTAAAATGAATAATGAATAAACGAATATTTTGCTGTAAAAAATATATCAAGTTAAAAGAAACTTACTCGGAAATAGAATAACCAGTTGATCTTTATTGAATTTGTATTGCCCATGTTCCATATCGACTTTGTTTTTCGTGAATATTGAGACAATGTCTTTTGAAGGGAAAATCTTGTCGAAATAAATTTGAAGCGATTTTCTGGCCATATCTATCAGTTTTGTAAATTTGTCGTAATTTTGACTTGGTGATTTTCCGACGGGTGCATTTGTGCAGTCCTCTTGATTGGCTTTGTTTTCAGAATCTGAAAATATTTTATTTTAAACATTATAATACCAAATCATTGGTTCGTTTCTCCATTGTAACCCCTAAACTGTAGTTTACTATAATTTGTATGAAAAATCAGGTTTTAAAATAGTAATAATAAAAAAGAAGTGATAAAAAGAAAGTATTACCATTTTTATATGATAATTCATTCATCAATTTTAGAAATATTACTGTGAAATTCAAATTGTAATTTTTCAATATTATCAATAAATTTAATGGGATCATCATCGAGGATACAGAATTTTTACTGGTTAGATTAGGAATTTTTTTTCACGATTCAGGAGAGATGTTTCTTAAGAGATGGAACGAATGAGTGAAAAACAAATAAAATATATATATATATTGACAAAAAATGTTGATTGAATTTTCTTTCATTCTTTCTTTGAATTGCAATTTTGTAGAAAATAAGGTCAGGAAAACGATAATTTGAATTAGAATTTCTAAACATGGGCTTTAGTACATGTAACAATAAAATTATGCAGTTCTGATTCGTTTCTTGTTTTTTAAACTGTATTTTTCATGACAAGAGTAATTGTTTTAATCTTAAAGGGGAGTACAAAATGAGCGCTTTCCGCTTGTGTTTAATATTTCTAATGAGAAAATTCCCACTTTCAAACCATTCAGAGATATATTGCAGGATGCCTCTCTGTTGAAAATGTATATTGAAAAATCGACTTTAATACCAAAACGTTTGATAATGCCTTTAAAACTGCAAAGCATGTCGTTTACGTATTCTACATAAAAAGGATTTAAAAGTAATTGTTCAAAAATTACATTAGTTAAGAATATCTTAAGAAAGGATCACTTCCTTCAGCGGCAATTACAATATCATATTCTGCCCTTAGGTTAGTGAGATTTTGTGTCATAAAGATTGTATCATTGTGTCATTTATTTTTTCTGTCATAGAAAAATTCATATGTAGAAATTGCTTTGACGTATTTTTCCATTTGTTTACCATATTTCCAAAAGAGAAGCAGTTCCTTTTCTTTTATGACATGATAATTCTCCAGTCCATGATTTGGACAACTAAATTCTCCTCTACCAACCAACTTTTGCTCTGAAATAAAGCCTAGATCATCTTCTTCAGTAACGTCTTGCTTTGAACACTGATATCCGATCTCATACAGTGTTTTCTTGTGGAAGTTTTTCGTCAAATGTTCAAGGATACATTCCATCGTTTTTTTTATTTTCCTCGTAATTTCTCCAATGAGCTGCTTAATTCCCTGTCTAAATATTTGAACCTGTATCGTTGATGTTGTAACTGCTACACCTATCAAGTGTTCTTTAAACTTAAATAAAGCGATATTTTTAAACAAACACTTCTGTCCATTGTCTTCAATAATAGTCCACTCTGTGCTGACTATACAGGCTACTATGAGACGGAAATAAAAGAAATAGGGCAGGAATCGGAAATTGAAGACTAAAAAAGATGTTTTTTGTTCTAAGTGTGTAATATAACATTTTAAATGCTCTCCAAAGTCTAGTTTGTTCATACAGGGAACATAGTGTGCATCTTTACCTACAGCAAGCAAACCAAGGCGTTGCATGTACTTTAACGTAGAAATGCATTTCCTTGCGTCCATTTTTTTCTTTTTCCAAATTCCCTTCAGTAGTTCTTCAGATAGATAACCACTTTTAAAAAAGTTTGTCCAGTCTTTGTCATTCTTAACAAGATCCCTGGCATGCTTTGGATCTGTTATTATATACTTAAAACAGTCTACAAACCATTGAACATCAGTTATTGTGCTCTTTTTCAAGTGAACTTCGTTGTAATATAAAATTACCCCAATATCATGATAAAACCGCAGCACATCAAATGTCTCCTTTTCTTTTCCAATTTTTTTTATTGAAACCTGTCTTCTAAAATCTGTAAGTGAGATACATTTTTTCCCACTTTGCTTGTTTTGTCTTAAAACTACTTCACAATATGCCCAATCCTTCGGAATATTCTCTCTCCAACGATCTTCCAAAGCAATAGAAGCAATGCATTCTACTACATCGGTAAGTTTATCTAATGGTTCACAATCATCCTTAGGAAACCCAATATGGAAGCAGCGTTCTCGATCAAGATGTTTCTTCAGATCAGGCTCATTCTTCAAAAGCTCCAGCAAATCATCATAAATTGATCTGTTAAACTGGGAAAAAGATAAATATTTACCTAGTTAATTATGCCCTTAACAGTTGATACAATTACATTATACGTAGAAATCAAACGACTTTGAAAACATTGAATTTTTTTAATGACCAAAAATGAAAAAAAGACATTTGTATCTGCTAATTTTCAAATTAAACGAAAGCATTGGTTCTCCTACATTTTATTTCAAAACATTTTATCATTGACATGTACCATATTTTTCACTTCGTCAGAATGGGTTCCTAGGGTAACAACTTGAGTGTCATCTTCGCAGTAGGTATGGATAGATTTCAACCAAAAAATGACATATTCTGAATTTAAAAATACTTGAAATTAATAAAGTTATCATTTAACATGATTAATGAAAGATAAATACATATCTAAATTTAGTTTTAACTTGTCAAAAAAATGTTTTGTTTGCTTGAAGGTTGTTTAACGGAGTTCTCGGATTTTTTACTCATATGGAGACCCAACATTCGCCAGTGGAGATCGGCAAAGTTTATCCTATTCCAGACACTTACGGCCATTGAGCAGATAGGATCATTTCGTGACAGCAACTACTGCTACACGGTACCTAGATTTATACGGTCTCATCCGAAGGACTGCTGCTCTACGCGTTGCACAGTGGGACGCAATCGATAATGAAGATAAGCAGTATATCAGTCAAAAATATTTGAATGCCCTAGCCTGTATGTGCAAACAAAAATTATTTTTTTTGTCCACATAAAATTCCTTTTTTGTGACAATGGTCTATCAATTCTAATGAAAAAGTATTTTTCCCGTAAAACGGCAGATATGTTAGACGAATTCTTATGTGAATGTTTAATTTTACTGTTTTTGTTTAATTAAACCACAATTTGCATAAATTTTCTCTCTCACTGATTGAGTAGAGTGATATACTGCTTATCCTCATGGCTGAACATAATTTAATATAATACGTTAAGTTAGTTGCTAACAAATATTGTTTAACAATACAGGAATTAAAAGATCTGTGGAGATTTGTTTATTTTGACTTAAATAGCTTAAATAGTTATGAAATACTGACAAAGGTTTGTCTGAAAGTGAATATAAAATTATTACTGATATCGAACTTGTCTGATGATGAGCGACATTTGATGGCATGCAATAAAAGAATGAATGCATTTCGAAACATTTTGTTGTATGATGAATTGTGTGGAGATTTATTTACAATCTTTAACATTTCATAAAAAAACGATTGTCTGATCATCTTTGGGTGTGTTTGTGAAGATTATCCTGTCCTTTGCTAAACAAAATGAACTGGGCACTGACAATCGGACCAATATACAGAAAGAAAAAGAAACGCAGGGTTAAGTTTTGAGGTGAATTAAATTTATTTTTCTTTCAATTTTTTTCAGTATCCCTATGTTACTTTTAAAATCATCTTTCAAAAAGATATAACCAAAATTTTATTTGAATTTGTCTAATAGTTCTTAAGTTATTGAAGCTCATATTACGATATCCCCCAAAAGTGAAAATCGAAAACACTCATTATCTTCAATGTTTCTCCTGCACATCTGTCATGAGCGTTCTTTCTCCTTTGCATAAAATTCATCATAGTGATTATCTTTTAAACCTGGGTATATTGGGCATCAATTACCACGACAAAAAATTAGTCATGCAAAGCGCACATGCGCGAGTGAGAGGAACACAACAGTAAGTTGACATGCTCAAAAAACCAAATTGCAGAATTGTTTTCTTTTGCTTTTTGTGTGAATGCAATGAATAGAATAGTCTACTGTATAAAAGGCGGTTTTTGTGGCAGTAGGGTCGCGACGCGATTTATGAGGTGGCAGGACGAATAACCTGCTCGTAACATGACTCTGTTTAGCGTCAATGTCATTGTCACGGTTGATTGAAAAACCATTCCAGGCCCTCTCCGACAACGGATAATAAGTTTTATAGGGAAAAATTTATAAGAAACTGCTTAGTTACCCGTTGTTGCCTTTTTCATTAATTGGGCAATTCGAAAATCAGACCCCATTGAACTTCCGTAAACTGTACCGAGATTGCAAAAATTTCATATCGTCTCTAAATATTGAAAAAAAAGCAATGTATATACCTCAGGTGCATTAAATGGTGCAACAAGATTTGTTGACAAACTCGTCGTCATCAAATTGCACGTGTTTTGGGATTTTTACCGTTTTCCCTACATGACGTCATACATTTTACGGTGAGTAATTCTGAACACTGAATTTTGTGCATAGGAACATCTGACCATATTTCGTAATTTTCCGTCATGCGGTCAAAAAGTTTTCGAATATTATGCTTCCCTGCGTTTCCTTTTTTTCCTTTCAGTATATATATATTTAACACTGAAATAACCTGAATTGCAGTTGTCCTTTTCACACTTAATAATTCTGTTAACAAAGCATATAATGATTTCCAAACCTTTATCTTAATCAAAATTTGACCCACCAAAATTACTTTATTGTACGCAAACAATTGCAAACAACGTGTACAAAAACACTTACGTCCGAATGTCCAGTCTGAAAACATGGTTCCTTCCTGTTCACACAATGCTTGATCAACTTTTTCATCAAACCTTTTTGACATATCGATCACAAGAAGATAGAAAGCCCTTCTGCTGAGATAGACCTGATGACATGCGTAATACGCACATTGTCCAGCAAAATCCACAACACTTAGTAGGCACTTATTTTCTGTATCAACATCTTCCTCAAGACCTAAAGATTAGAATCTGAAGCACATCATTTCATACAAAATATCCATATTTTGATCATAATCTCTTTACTTTAAAACGATTTACAAACCTTTTAAACATTTACGATCCCTGTCTATATCAAATAAGTTTTCGTACACCTCCAGTCCTACGGTCGACTGTATTTGTCGTAACTCTTGAATACTTCGCTGCTGTAGTCGCTTTAAAAGAGTAGTTTTTCCAGCTCCCGCACAACCAACAATCATTGCACGAGCTCTATGCATTGTTTGGGTTCCTTTCTTAGCACATGCTATGTATCTGCATCGAGCATCATAGTCCCATTTTAGCACTTCTCTTGGTATATGTACTGTTTAGAAAATAATCAAGTACAGTAAGAAAGGCTAACAAAAATATTTCGATTCTTTCAGTTTTTTTGCAAATAAGTGTTAACATATGGTATTGTGTTTTTCATTATTTTTTTTTATTTCTACCACAAGAAAAGTATACTCAGAATTCCATTACTGATTCCTCTATTACAGTCATTGTCACGTTAAAGTCATTGCATTGATTAAGCTGAATTCACGTGAACTTGCGCCTAAACTTCACTTTATAAGATACCTGGTATGTTATGATATCAACCTGTTGTTAAGGTTCATAAGCCCTCTGCTAACTAATATAAAATGTTGCTTGCAATTGAACCTTGATGATTTTCCAAAAGAAATGTATTTTATAAGTAAAAAATACAAACAATTGTAGCATAGCTTGCGGGGCAAAATTGAACTAAGACACTTCAGCTTGACAAATCTATTATGGAATAATAGACATTTCTGTCATTAAGAGTTGTCTCTCCTATCAGAGTATCAATGAGCCTTAATATGTTAACCTCATCTTATTCTGTTCAGTCCTCTTCCATATAAAATAATCTTATTTATCCAGCCGTTTTAACTAGGTCAAATGTTCCCTGGAGTTCGAAAACAGACATTATACCTATAGTTAATTACAAACACAAGAAATCTTTACTCTTTTACCGACCAACTTGACCACTGGCACAAAAACAAAGGCATGCCTGTTTTCATACATAGCCGTCGCACCTAAGGTTCATGAATCCTCCACTCACTCTCATAAAATGTTTTTTTATCTATGGATTTCAAAAAGAAACGGGCCTATATCTTATAAGTAATATAAAAGATACCACAGAGTCTGACAAATCTGTTTCATTAACTGGATATTTTACTTGAAAAGACGTTAATGGTATTCTAAAAACCAAGCTCTTTGATAAATTAAATGACTTTCCCATAGTTAACTTTCCTTACTTATGCAGCAATATACCTTCATCACCTGCATACAAAGTTTATGCATCTCATTTAATTCGATACGCAAGGGTATGAACAATTTCTTTAAGGAGGGACCTTTGTCCGAAAAGTATTTGTGTGAAATTGTCAAAACTTTGAAATATCTTTCATTACCACTTGCTCTTAATTCTTAGGCATTTAAAACAATACCTTTATATGCTTATTTTTACACAGGAGCACGTGCAAAAACTGTGTAAAATGCTATAAATAGATTTATTTATTTTAAGATATTATTAGTCTACCCCAAATATGCGCTAAAAAGAATCAAAAATATCAAACACATTCAAAATCAACATGTATTAAAATTTTTAGACTTGTATCTTTAAATTGAAGTTAAAATCATTGTAATTCATATCACATGAAAAATTATAATGGAGCACAATGTAAATATTACCCACAATATTTTTGTCGTATTTTTTGCAATTTTGACATGCATAAAAGGTAATATCTTAGAAAGTCTTTGTGTGAAAATGTTGTATTTCATACGTTTTGAAAGAAATGAATTAACTCTTTTTTTTGATAAAGAAAAAAGTATACCTTTATGATAAAATAAACAATAAATGTGAAGTTTTCTTTTATTTTCTTACTCTTGTGTCATAAATATTGACCTTTCTGCACTACGACCAGTGTAAGTAAACACTGGCAAATATCTGAATATAAAACTATTTTGTGGAAAACAAGTATTTTGTTTTGATTAGTAACAATTTACACTGAATTTAATCTTTTCTTTTTTATCCCAATCATTATGTCCCCCCACCCCTTCCCCGTCAACAACCAACTCCTATAAGAATTATCCTAGGAATGACTTTATACAATTAAATGTACTGACCAATAAGCAAATATATATAGGTACAAGTTAATTTTTTATTTTTTTTTCCCTAGTCTTATCGAGAAAATACAATTAATGGTAACCATAAAATTAAACATATTTCCCTGATTTAAGCCGCTTTCTTTGCTGAATTTTATCTTATCTTTTTTTTTTATTTTATATCAGCATATTATCGAGGTATTATTTTCACAATTGAACTTGCTATGAATTATCAACCAAAGGAAGAGATTTCTAATATTAACAAACTCCATTAATCAAATAAAGCTGCCATTAAAGATGTACATGTATAAATTTTCTTTTTGTAAATTATCTACGCTATTGATTATTAACAATGGTAAGCATATACCACAGTTGCAAAAGTCTAAAGGTAAAAACAAACGTAGCTTTTTTGACGTCACATAACGCTGCTTTGACGTCGAACGACATAGGTCCCCCTTTAACGAGGTGAAGTATTGATAATTAAACAAGTTGATGAAACAGTAATGTCGGTAGTCTCGTTTAAAGACATCATTTCTTAAGTTCTATGGTCTATACGATGACTTTGTCAGCAGATACAATTTTTCATTGAGTCAAATGCTGACTATCGTTTTCTATACTAAATTTTATTTCCATTGTTATTTTACCACTAAAATTAAGATGTATTTTCCGTTATTTTCCGATCATGACAAGGAGCACACGCTGGGTGTGACTGATCGGTAAAGGATGCTCACTTCTCCATGGCACTTGATCCCTACTCTTATATCTCGGTGGTCCGTGTTTGCTGAGCTCCTATTTTGTATGGTTTATTGGATTTTGAGCTGGAATACTGTTTGTTATATCCATGGATTTCATTTTTAAATAATAAATTAGAACAATATCTTAAAATATGAAGTGGAACATTTACAGCGTCATTTGGAACTTCTGTATTTTTGGTACACTGGGGGATCAAAGTTTAGGGAAAATCTTTGAACTTCTTCTCAAGAATATCAAAGACATGATTGGTCATAGTTATATGGAAGCATCTTCTGGTAATGAAGATTCGAGTTTGTTCAAATCATGACCCCTTGGGCAAGGGTTGGGCCATTATGGTTACCAAAGGAGAAATACATAGAGACAAATCTCTAAATAAAAAAAAATCTTCTTCTTGAGGACAGCAAAGTTGTGATTGTTCAAAGTCATATTGAAGCATTCTCTGGTACACTCAACTTTCTTCAAATCAAGGCCCCGTGGTTAGTGTGGTTCCAAAATGGCGTATCTGAGTTTTACATAGGAATACGCGTACATGGAAAAAAATCGTTAATATTCTTTACAAAGCCATGATTGATCATCAATTTAAAAACATCATTAAAGTGAATCATGACAATAAACAGCAAGTCATTACAGTGTATGTGTCATATTAATTCAAAAGCATTCTTAGGAAGTGTAGATTTTAGGGGTATGTTTTTCAAATACCCCACTTCCTGGTAATTAACCACTTTGGAAATACATCAATTTAAAAACATCATTAAAGTGAATTTTAAAATTAGTCATACCGGATGTAATTCTTACCTTTTACACGTGTTTTTTTTTTACAAAACACGATATTTTTTCGTATTTTAAGTGAATATTTATTAAACTGAGTAAAGCAAAAAAATGTACATATATTAACAATTTTTTTTTTAAATTCTAGCATTCTCAGGAAGTGTAGAAAGAAATTTTAAAAAAAGGGTATGTTTTTCAATTTTCATATGCCCTTTGAAACTGATTCGAAATAAAAATTTAATTCATTAATTGTTTCACTTCGATCTGCCAATATATTTAAACTTTTCATGTTGATACCATATAGACACCATAAAATATATCACCTGCAGAATTGTTATTAAACATCCCTTTTCAGCTAGTTTCTGCTCAGGTGTCCAGGTAAAGTTGCTAATTATGATGTGACACACATAGCCTTTTGTTTTAATTTTCAAATTAGAAAACCTGCAGTAGGTAGTTTTATTCGAATTTCCTAATCTTCTATTTGAGCTGTATATTTACTTTATACTTTTCAATACTAAATATATTGTTGTTATTACCTAGTTGCTCAGGTGAGCGATGTGGCCCCTGAGCCTTTTGTTTCAATTTTCAAATTAGAAAACCTGGAGTAGGTAGTTTTATTCGAATTTCCTAATTTTCATTTGTAACACCTTCATAATATGGCTACCTTTGAATATTTTAAGTAACACCTTGGGTAAATATACGTATCGAAATTAGGGGTACATGTATCTTGGTGGGCATTTTCAATTAAACAATGTCTTTTTTTTTCAAAACCTTAGGATCGGACTGACTTAAGTAGTTTAAAAGGCCTGTTTTTTTTAAAAACATTTTGTTTAATTATCCGTGGATGAAAAAATGCGATTGTTAAAAAAAAAGAATATCTGAGGAAATGTATTACACTTTATGACCTTTTACCTTTCTTTTTTTTCATTTTTGCCTGTTTGAATATTAAATTGCTTTCTTTTTCGACCTGAATTAAAATATAATAATTTTTATTAAAAGCCTCAGCTAAAATGTCTCAGGAATATCTTTGTTTCAAATATGGTAAATGTTTTGCTTTATTCTCTGTTATTATGCTTAAATTATACGGTATAAAGGCAGAAAAATGAATTAAATAATTGGTGATTAACGTAGTACCGATAATACATGTAAACTCTGTGATTAACTCACGTTTTGAAGATATTACAATACTTAAATTGTAATTATTAGCTGCAAACTGTATGGCATCTACACCAAGTCTGTCTACAAATAACTCTTCTATCATATATGGTAGGTACATACAGCGTTCTGTCATTCTCCTCTCGTACGTCAATGGGCGGGCATATTCAAATATTGAGTTCACTGAGGATAGCTTTAGGTAGTTCTCATAATCTCCCTTACTTTCTAAGCAATTTAAAACAAAGTAACCCATCACCTGATGTCGGATCTCTTCTGATACAAATGACACTGTATTGTTCTCTTTATCTACAGTTAACAATTTATCACAATGTTCCAATTCCTTTAGGATTTCCAAATCTTCTTCTGTATTTTCCTCCTTACCATCTTGCATTGCTTTAAATGTTTGTTGAATATTTTTTCGTTTTTCTTCCCATGGTATATTTTCACAAACAAAATATTCCTCTGACAAAAGTATGGATACCAATGTGCTCCATTTTTTCTTTGATAAATGCATTTCCATTAACTCTGCAATGAATTTAATTAAAAGAAATTATTTTAAATATATATATATATGTGTGCATGTTTATTGACATGAATGGATACACATTATCCGTATAAGCAGAACTCTTAAAGATTTAATTTTGGCATTACATGTAGTAGCGAAGGTACAAAGATCGCTAATATTGTATATTGCTAAAAAATAATTGCGTTTTATTCTTTAGCGAGCTTTTTAAAAAGAATTATATCTCCCTAAAAATAAATTACCAATTCTTAAGGACAATTAGCTAGATTGACCTTTTGCTAAAATGTCCACTTATACGGTAGTTTGTTCAACAACTGAACTAAATTATTATGTTTTGATTCAATGTATAAGTCCTGAAATATGTCATTGTATTGTAAAAAAGATTTCTTTCTAGACATTTTTTTTAATATAAATAAATTGTTGAATGTCTTGTTTTAGGATTGGTATAAAGGAAACATGGACGGTCATAGATGACTTTTTCAAATGACGTAACTTATTAAGAAACAAGAGAGAGTTTTCTATACTTGTAATCTATCTATAGAAACATTTAATACTACATTCTTTTTATGACACCCTAAACGAAGTTTCGGGGGTATATAGTTTTTATCGTGTCCGTCCGTCCGTCTGTCTGTCGGTCGGTCTAGCTGTCTGTCTGTCTCTCTGTCTGTCTAGCTGTCTGTTTGTCCGCAAAAACTTTAACCTTGCCTATACATGTAACTTTTTATTTAGTGGAGCTATGACATTTATATTTCACATGTGTATTCCCTGTGACAAGACCTTTCTTTGGGTACCACCAAATTTTACCTTTTGTCCTTGATCTTGGAGTTTGACCCACTTGAACACAAAAATTGTGAACTTTTACTTTGGCCATATCTTTTGAACAATAAATACCAGGACATTCATACTTAATACATGTATTGTTAGTGGAGAGACCCTTCACTGGGTACCAACAACCTTAACCTTTTGATCTTGACCTTGGAGACTTCACATGTGTAATCCTTGTGACAAAACCTTTCATTGGAAATTAATTCAAGAATCTTGACCCTTTGACCTTTACCTTAGAGTTTGACCTACATTTTACAAACTTTAACCTTGGCCATTACTTTTGAATGGTTAGGGCCAGCGCTTTCATACTTCCTATACGTAATCTTTGAGGCAAAGCCTTTCTTTAGAAACCAAAAACCTTGGCTGTTTGACCTTGACCCGGAGTTTGTCTTATCTTATAAAATTTTAACTTTGGTCATAACCCTGGAACAGGTGTAGCTAGCATTTAAAATTTCGCATTTTTTGTGAAAAAGCCTTACTTTTGGTACCAACATATTTGATCTGCATTTGAGAAAGCTTAACCCTTCGCTATGTTGCCACACGGGGGCATCAGTGTTTCACAAATACATCTTGTTTAATTTGTTGTTGTTTATGTTGTTGTTATTGTTTATCATAGTGTATATTTTTCAAATCATTATAATATAATGTTATATAATAAATGTATTTACTAAGGATGGCAATGGATTACAGAATTGCTAATCGGTTAATCAGTTGTTTGTTTTTAATTTTGATTTATAGATCAAATCACAAACTTTTTAAAATAAAATATTAGATCGTAAGGAATATTTCTTTATTTATGTTCTTTATCCTGTTGTACGTAACAACGCTCTCTCTCTCTCTCTCTCTCTCTCTCTCTCTCTCTCTCTCTCTCTCTCTCTCTCTCTCTCTCTTCAATATTTGGCAAAAGAGTAACCATTTAAAAGAGTTTTACAGATATTTCATGTTATTTACCCTGGCAACAATATTCATCTAAATAAAAAAATGATGAAAATTATGTATCTCATTGTAGTTTATTTGCATACCATGATTTTTAAATCAGACCATAACTGTGAAAGGACTCATCCCCCCCCCCCCCACAACCAACCCCCGCCCTGGAAAATGAAATCTGGATCCGCGCCTGAATCGCATGAAAATGAAGACAGCAAAGACGTTCAAATTCATAAAAGTTTTTGATTAGAAAAGACAGAGCACAAGGTTTTTCAATAAGATATTTTACTCACCACGACAACAGTTCATCGAAATAAAAAAATGATTCAGAGATTTTATGAATTATACCTTAATTTAGCTCTTATGTGTTCCAAGTTACATGAGAATCAGATCAAATCTGTAGGAGAAGTAGCATCTTGAAATATTGGTTACAGACAGACAAACAGACGATGAACACCTTACTGTCCTAAAAATTCATCTGGTCTCTGACCAATAGAGAATTAAGGAATAAAATTCATTTATTAAATTTCGAAACTTGTAAACCCATTCACAAATGTTTTTTTTAACCTCCGAAAAACTTTTTCAATTTCGGATATCTACACCAATGACAATGAAGAAACAACAATTAAACGATGATTTGCTGTACGTAAAATGAACTCGAACGTTTGGTTGACAAAATCATCAAGTCATGTATGCTGCTTTAAAAAACAATTAAAAGCGGCTTTTGGTTTCGCATGTTTAAATATATATAATAAGCAGTCAAGTCAACTAGTTACATATATATAGATCGTCATATTCATAGAGAATACTCACCATTTTTTATTTCCGAAAGGATGGTGAAGGCAGAATAAAAGTTTATAACTTTCTCATCAGGAATTTGGTCTGACAATGTTATAGGGTCTGTATTTCTTGCTTTGCACCAAAACTTTACAAACATCCCAAACTCCTTCTCGTCCTTTATGAGACACTTAAAAACTTCATCTACATATAAAACAAAATTGTATATTCTGTGTTAGTGTCATTATTAATTAAAGTATGATATTTCCACCAGAGAAAAATTGGAATAGACGTTTAATGAATCTAGTATTTAAATGGGGGCATTTCTGTAGATTATACTTTTTTTCAATTCTTCGATTTTTCCCAATATCGGAATGACCAGAAATCATACGTGAGTGACATGGAAGTCCCAAGTAAATATGTAAATGAACCACAAAGTACTGGATTAAAGAAACTATATAATCAAAATTGTGAATAAGAGATTCTAAGACACCTTTATAATTATCAATTGCCAGAAATAATGTTTTGTCAAATTCTTTTTTTCTTTTTATGTTTTATTGACTTAATTAGAATACACAATATTAAGACCAGGGTATATATTTGTCCCTAAGATATTTTCTATTACAAAGAGTTTTTCCGGAATCACACTCGGGAGGTTAATTTTTTTAAGTGCATCATTAATTAGTGCCGTATCAACTTTCTCTAAGTTTGAAACAGAGAGTTGGAGACAGAAAATTGATTAAAGTAGAATCTTAATCGTCTTCTGTATAATTAAAAGCATGTATAGTAAAAGTCCAATATGTATATTTAAAAGGTTTTCTTGTGGATCAGGGTTTTTTAATCAGAACAAAACTGTAGGGGAGTATTTTGATTGACTGACTGTCTCAGAACTTTTAAGTTGCGTGAAGTATTAAAGTAAGCATAGTAATATTTATATTCTTCTTCCGAATCAAAATCTGAAACGAAAAATTATGCTGCCTAATTTAGTCTACTCGATCATGGGGGTTACATGTACTACATGTTTAGGTAATAGGAGATCAAAACTGTTGAAGTTGAAGCGTTTTAAAAGAATTCTGTAGAATTTTCTTTAGACACGAAACGGTGGTAAAAAGTAAAAAAAATTAATAGAGATTTATTTATTGTAGTTTAGTTTACTTGTCAATGTTTATACAGATTTATAAAATCTTACATACACTGTAGGAAGAGCAGTGTATGTAATATTATTCAGAGATAGGAAAGAGGGACCCCCTATACCACGCATATTTGACCAACAAAACTCAACATTACTTATGATCTCAATGTACAAAAATGTACATAATAATGATTCATGTACATAGCATGTGTATAATTATGAAGTCAAGTTTTTATTAACGTTAAAAGAAAATGATATAACATTTTTTACTATAAAATGAAATTTCAAAAAAATAAATAAGAATTATATAACAATGGTATGATATATCAAACATACATGTATGTACATGTACCTCGTACAGAGTCGGGTAACCTGAGTCCGCGACCCTCCACAATCAGTCTCATCGCTGTTATAGGACCGATGTCTTCTGATTCTCTGGGACCATCTCCATGACGACAGTACACTTCAGCATATGTTTCTATGGTTTTATCTGAGGCAACCTGTATGAAGAAGTCCTTGTCTATCTCACTTAGCAGGCAGTTTTCTCTGTAGGATTTCATTATCATAGATTTTTTATCATCTGGAATTCTCTTGTACCGACTGTTAAAACCCTCAATCACCAGTCCCTTGTTCTCTAGCTCCTTCACTATCGTCATGATATCAATGTCACCCACAGAGTCTGCGTTCCTGATTTCGACGTCACCGTCCGAGTCCTGACATAAGAAGAAAGTGTAGAGAACGACGTGCTGTTCCTTTGTCAAATCTGATAATGGATCTGTGCAATACATGAAAAAAAAAATGATAATGCTGTAATGAAAAAATATTGTCATACAGCTCTACACTTACTAAATAAATTGTAAATAACAAAATAATTAAAATTTCTAAAAAGCAATATATGTCCTAATATGCTTTCAATTTACAGTTTGTTCTTTTTCACAGAAAGAGATCATAGTAATTTAGTTTTAAATGTGAATAGTTACATTGAATATCAAAGTACAGTATTACAAACAAACAAAACATTTGTTACGTCGATTTTTCAAGTCAAACAAGTTAATTAAATTCCCATCTATATTCTGTGCATGTAAAAAGACATTAATACATTTTTTTTTTGTCTATCGTTAAAAACTATACATCATGAAGTTAAAAGATATTACTTTTTTGTATGAACTTTTAGAAAATATTAAAGTACTTAAAATAGTTATTCATTAACCTAATTACGTAAATGTACCTTTATTGTTTCTGGAATCCAGACGCCCACTGTCATCCCCAGACAAATCCTGATTATTTACAGAAGAACAAAGACGATCTGTGTCTACATCTGTTTTGGGGCGTTTTGCAAGGATGATCTGCAATGAAACGGTTAAAATGTTTCCGTGAAAAAAACAGAAAATATTTTAAACACCGAATTATTATGTATTGACAGATGTAATTCCCTAACTGCAATAGTGCATGCAGATAAAATGACTAATATGCCTTATATTAGCATGTTTTTATCTCTTTATTTTTGGCACACTGTTAAACTTAACTTTTATCAGATTACATCTTTCAAGTATTAATTATGACAAGCTTATTTTTTATATATATTTTACTTTCTACATGTGTGCAAAAGTGATTTATACTCTGACATCCCTGTATAATTGCCCCCCCCCCCCCCAACCCCCAACCCCCCTTTCAGAAAGCGAGGGCACATTAAATGTAATTTGACTCTCCCTCTGTCAGATTTTGTTTTGAATATATTTTATTGAAATAAATCAAATGGATCGTCAGTCTGTCAGTCCGTCCGTACGTCACAAAAACTATAAATTTGGTCATAACTTTAAAATCGGAAGAGATAGGATTTTCATAATATACGTGTACATAAACTGTGACTTGACCTTTCCGAATACACTATAATTTTTTACCCCTTGACCTTGCCCTTGAAGGTGACCTATGAAAAAAATAATCATTTCTTTGAATTGGCTATAACTTTTGAATGAAAAGAGATAGGGCTTTCGTGTTGAAATCTGTATGATCAGTGACAAGGCCTTCCTCGAAAGCAATGATTTTTGGCATCGTGCCTTGACCTTAAAGTTTGACCTACTTTTCAAAAACTTTAACCTAGGTCATGAGTTCTGAATGAGAGGAGATAGGGCTATCAAATCTGTGTATTGCCTTTGACAAGAACTTTCTAAATGTACTATGAATTTTAATCTTATGACATTGACCTCGAGGTTTGAATTCTTTTCAAAATTGTTAATATTTTCCAATAAATTTAGATTGAAAAGAGATATGGCTTTTATATTTGTCATGTGCATTACATGTGACAATATATTCCCGAACATGCTTTGTTTTCTGACCCCTTGATTAACATGATTTTAAAATTGAACTTCGGTGATAATTTCTAAATGACATATGATGTCTCGTGCAGCTTGATGTTTGAAAGTGGCTGATCAATTTTTCAAGTATTTTGATCGTACAACTGCACTCGCCTCAATCACAACGTAAAACATATTTTAGAATAGATAAAGAATATCTGCAATGAAAAATTTTGGAAGGTAATAAGTGTGTGTATGTTTGATACTGACCCCTGAAAATCTTGTTCTAGAGTGACGCATTTAAATGCTACATACAAAACCGATGTTGTAGAGCAATACTTTACCTACTCCCCCTTTAGAAGCCTTTCGATAGAGGGACACTTCTGAAGGATAAGAATAAAACAACGAAAATGGAACTCACAGAGGGGGGTCTCAATCTAACACGAGAGCTCTTCATGGAAACCTGGCTCTAGATTAAGCCTTCCCCAATGAGATCGTATTACCAGTCTAGTCGCACCCCCAAACGAGGGTTTTCCGGGGAAACAAACTTACATATATTATTATCTTAGGAAAAAAAGTCCGATCATGTTGTTATTTTGCTATAAAATTGGTAAAATGTCAACAGAAAAAAAAAATCAACAGGTTAAGTTTTCCCTAATTGGAATTTATAATAAGGAATAACGAAATATTTTCCGTCATTTCATGAAATAATTAAGAATTTTGGTGTGCCTTTTCATTTAAGATTTTATTAAATTATTGACTTTGAAGAAAAATATTCTAAGAATGAAGAAAATATGAATTTTGAGTCTAGATTTAAATAAAAAAAAAATGTATTCATTTTTTCTCCAAAACGATCGTACTTTTTAAAAGGAAAAATTCCAAATACTTTATTTAACTTTTCTAATGTATAAAAGACAATAAATTCAATGAACTGCATTAAAATTTTTATTTTAAACTTTATTTTTGAACACTTCCTGAGCATGATTACCAATAATAAAGACTGTCTATAGCTTGACAGAGGAAATGCTGATTGAAACCTACGATCCAAAATAAAACAATATTAACAAAACACTTTCGTGTGTTTTTTTTTATTATAAAAGTAGAAGAAATAAGGTAGAATAATACATTTCTTTTCTAATTTTATTTTAATATCAGTTATTTTTGTCTTTTATGGATTATTTTATCTTAATGACAGAGTTATATTAACTTCAATTGTTTTATTTGTTATAATTTATTTCTGAGGTAACATGTTTTATTTGGTAATTGTTGTAAAGTTGTTTCATGTTTAAAACTATTTAGATCGGGATCAATTACCTAATTTTAATCTATGACACAATTGTCTTTATTTACAGCCAATCAGCGTGGCTTCTCCTAATCACGTGACCATTGTTTTATTTTTTACCAAAGGAGAAAGTCACACAAATTTACAAGGAATTTTTTTATCGAAAAAAATTATTTCCAGTTTGTTTCAAGCAACTTAGGTAGGGTTACACCTTTCTACCTGTGCTTAGTTTTCAGTGTGATTTGCTAGACATTTCTCCACAGGATAAGAGTTTTGATGCGTTTCGATATTTAGTGACTTTGTTTGTTTACGTAAGGTGCGCGATCCGGTTTGAACCGGTTTGGGGAGAACTTGTGTCACAACATAGAAGAGCCGAATTTCCTCAGGATTTGTTTACTTGGACATTCGTTTGTAACTCGTTTACGGCGATATATGGACTCTCATCCAGATTTAATGAACTTAAAGTTGCATCAGGATTTTTATAGTGTTTCACTGCGGGCCCGTGGTGGTCTACGGATCTCGAGCATCGCTCGTTCCAGAGACTTCTTTACTTTTGATATGTTGCCGCACGTGTGTTTTATGCAGATTGGAGAAAACGACATTCTTTTGCATACCAATGAAGTGATTGTACGTGACATTCTATCTTTAGCATCGTATCTACATTCCGGAATAGGCATATAAACAGTTATTGTGGGTCAGCTTCTTCGCCGCCAACCTTGGGCCTTGTCACCGGACTTCAACGATCGCATCATCGCCATCAATGTCATGCTCCGAGAACAGTGCTCAAACATTTCCGGTGTGCATTTCTGGCCTCAGAGGCTTCTGGACAGATTTGACATTTCTATGCCAGGACGGGGTACATCTCCGATGCCCCTCCCAGTCGTCCCATGTTGTGAACACCTCTCATGGGTGGGTGGATCCAATTTGCAATTGGATTGTAGCGTTTATTTTCTTTTAACCCACCCTTTTTTGAAGACAGGCATATCAGTGCCTGCTTTATGATACATGTAATTTTAGGGGGTCAGACTGCATAATATGTTACCAAAGATTTTTGTATTATTTCAAAGTTTTTTCTAGTCTTGTCAGACCCCCTTATAATATGTTTATATTTTGTTTTGCGTCATTCACTTCAATAAATGACATTTTTTCCACTTTCACTACTGTTGTTATTTTAATTTTAATCCATCAAAAAACTAGCTCAGTTGACTTGGCTTCGGTCTTGCATTATAACAGAGGAACATAAATATACTTTTGCACAATACAATCTCTTTAAACATCTATAATCTATCAAGTATGAGTAATTACAGGTCTACGAAATAATCCAACACTTTGCACCAGCATATTTTGAGGACCACACGATTTTCCGTGAAAATAGCACTTTTTTTATAGTGTCTGTGCATGCGCGTAACCCTATTTGGGGGTACGGTTTTCCTACCTTTGTTTATCCCCGTTTGGGGGTTCGACTAGACTGATCGCTTTAGAGATCTTCCGGGTGATAAACGTAAGTCTCTTAAAAGTGAATACCCCCCTTGTGAACATGTACATGTACTCACTATCTTTTGGGGATGTATGGCTCTGTGGGAGACATATGGCTATAATGTAAAATCCCCTTGCTGTAGAAGGCTTACTCAAGACCGAGACTTCAGGTTGAAATTTCACTATGAAGGGAAGTCTCACTATACAGTACCAGGATTCGAGCCCTGATCCCCTGACTCTGCAATCAGGTTATCTATACAAACCGTCTGGACACCGGCAATGTAATCCATCAGATCGCCACAGATTACTACTTACGTTTTCGTTCTCTCCGATACTATCTCCATACTCTCTCTTTTCGGTCATTATCGGAAACTGTGAACAACTGTCATCAACTAGATTTAAAGGTTGACTACAAGGTCTGTAATAAGAGAAAAGGTTTTTTTTTTTTATGTGTGAATGTGTATTTTTTTTTCCCTTAAGACAAGTAATTTCTCGAAAGTTTATTTAAAAAATCTCTTCATAGAAATTAATATTTATCTCAGTTGTACATGATACAGATATTTGCACAGTGTTTGCGCAAGATATCTACCACTTCCCAAATAAGAAATATATGTAAGCAATTGCAACTACTAAGTCGGATGACTGTAACTTTATGCGAATAGGCACATGTATCTCATTTGGTCATGAAATGCCTCTTGGTCACAATCACCTGTACATGTATACAAAGTATTATCTCTTTATATCTCACACTAAAAGGTTTTGACTTTTGGTATTCATCCTTTCTGAGCTTAATGTTCCTAATACCTTTGATTAAGGTCGTGTAGAATTCTATGATCGTTTCCAATAGAGTCAGCAGGAGAGGCGGAGAGGTTTCCTGTAGGACCAGATGGAGATGTAGACATGTTTCCCATAGGATCTACAGGGGAGGTAGATATATTTCCCATGGGAACAGCAGGTGATGCAGACATGTTTCCTATTGGAACAGCAGGTGTGACTGATATGTTTCCCATTGGAATAGCAGGAGAGGTATACAAGCTTCCCATAGGAACATCACTGGAGGTACAGATGTTTCCAATGGGAACAGCAGGAGAGGCAGACATGTTTCCCATAGGATATACAGGAGAAGCAGACAGGTTTTCCATAGGAATAGCTGCGGAGGTAGACATGTTTTCCATAGACCAATCTAATTGACTTGAGGGTGGGAAAAGTTGTCGTGTTTTGCAGTCTAAAGAATCCCATCTTCGATCTAATTCTAAAATGCATACAATAAAAAAATGATACTAGTTCAGCAAGAAGTTAATATTGCATGCACATAATCCAATGCTAAATAATTCTGGGCAGTTTACCTAACAATTATTATAGTTCAGTGTACATACACAATTTTTCATGCATTTTTAAGAGACTCCTAGATACTTTAAAAATGGAAAATTGTAAGAGGAAATAGTGTCCTGGGGATTATTTTTTCCAAAAATAAATGGGGAAGACTTTATTTCTAATTTATTTATCATAGTTCTTATCAGACAGAATCAATTTAAAATTAAGAGTAAATTGATTTTTTTTTAATTTAAATGAATACTAGTAAATAAAAATCAAGAGACCCAACGACAGCACTCCTCCAAAATAACTCATTGTAATCAAAGATGTCTTTTATTGCTATTACGTTTTCAGTCTAAAATCTTTAGAAAATATTCAAAAACACACGTAAAGTTGCCTGTATCAATAAACGTTTTAAATAAAACACATTCAATTAAATAACGCTGTAAAAATCATACTTGAAAAAGTTGTCATAAACTGATCAAATTTTGGCCCTTGAGAAGGCATAGCAGCATCATTCTGATGTGGTGTCATTCGCTCATTTTGTCCCTTCATAAAGTACTGATGCCGATGTTGCTGATATGGCTGCTGTTGCTGAAGAGCTGGTTGTAGTGTTGTATGTCCATTCTGCTGGATAAATGAATGTAGACCCCAAGGAGCCTGAGCACCATTATATTGAGGATAAAATACTGCTTGTCCTAAAGTAGGTCAACACAACATTAAAACAAGCAAAATAATCATTCTTCCAAAATCACATTTCATTTTCTGTTCCGATAATAATTTCAATATCATTATCCAACAAAATACACTTGGAGCATCCCCATCCATGATACCCACCTCCATTTTTTTTGTCAATGAATTTTTAGGTCTTTACACACTGAAATAATTAACAGATTTTTCCGTTTTTCGAATTATGACAAAGAGCACATATCGTCATCTTTATATATTTCATCAGTGTGTTGCATTGATTGACAAAGAAATTTATACAGGCCTAGGATGAGTACTGTAATTGAACGACAGGGGCGAATATAAAGATTAAAGATAAATAAAGTTGGTGAAAACTGTCAGGTATCATTTTTGGAACATCTCTCATATATGCTTAATTCAAACAAGAGGCCCATGGGCCTTATAGCTCACCTGAGCATAATGCAACAACTTTCTAGTTATTGAATATGATTCATGTTTTAAGCTAGATGCTATGGCATTCTCAATTTTGAAAGAGGCACCATTGATGGCAGGTTAGGTGAACAAAAATGCATTTTAACTAATCAGTAATATTCAGCAATAATCAGTAGTGCCCTTTCCACACATGAACCCCTGACCCTTAGGCTTAGTTCTTTACACTGCACAATTTTTGAAAAGGCATCCTTGCTTTTCAAAAATATTTGATTAATACCAAGGAGCAGATTTCAAACAATTCATTCATTTTCAATACAATGTTAATAAGTACAGAACCCCCCACCTATGGTACCCCTGAATCTGAAGCCTTGAAATTCACAATTCTGCAAGATTAGGGCTCATCATAACTATATACATGTAAGTAGTTCATCTGCTTCCTATTTAGAGACAGAGAAGAAAATTTTCAAAGATTTAATGTATTTTCACTATATAATAATCAGTAGAGCGCCGCCTTAACACCAGAACCCCTGACCCTGGGGCCATAAAATTCACAATTTTGGAAGAGGCATTGTTACAACGCACTTTGAAAAATTACGCACTTTGAAAAAATTTTTCAAAGTTCGTTAAAATTTGGGACCAAGCTAACGCACTTTGAACAAAATATTTTTTTTTTCAAAGTGCGTTCATATCGACCACATTAACGCACTTTGAACGAAATGTAAAGATTGATCAATATTCCTTCGAACAATCGGTATGATAAATAATAGATCCAGGTTTGTTAACTTTTTTTATGATAAAGTCACTGTAGGACCTGAGATATTGACGTTTTAAATATTTAAGGTTTTGATAAAATAAAAGGGAAAATTAAAGGGTCTCGAGAAAAAGAGTGACGATTGTTTAAGTTCATTATTTCGTTTCTTTTTTTTTTTAATTCTAGTCTTTGATAAGTTGATGTAAAGGTGTATAGGGGGCACTAACAGAGGACAGCTTCAAGCAACGTAGCATTTATCATAATAAAAAGGGGCCAATTTGATTGTTCAAAACTATAAAAAAAAATTCTTTTTCTCTCATACGTTTCACCGTACAAAAAATTTCTAGTTTTCATCTGTTTTAATTAATTCATTTATTATTGAAAGTTTTCAACGTCATACCAGTTAGGTAAATACATAATTATATGAATGCTTTGAGTATAGCATAGACATCGAGACTGGGCGTAGATCCAGGGGAGGGGATGGAGGGCTAAGCCCCCCACTTATTTTGGAAACATATAAACATCGTATAAGCATTGAAAATGCAGCGTACCCTTTTTAGGTTTATTGCTCCCCTCCCCCGTTTGTTACCGACACCTATGTATTGGAAATATAAAGATTTTGACTGAGGGATCTTATACCCGTCTTCTCCTCTTTTCGACGGGAGTAAATCAATTCATTTTATGAGGTTAGGGTTAGGCTTAGTTTTTTGAAAGATAAATAACAAATAATATCTTTCCACGACTAAAATTTTGTTTGTTTTTTTTCAAAGTGCGTTAAGTATCTCCATGGTAAAATATATTGATGTAGACTCTTAACGCAATTTGAAAAAAATTTTCAAAGTGCGTTGATTTTGTCCCAATTTTAACGCACTTAGAAAATTTTTTTCAAAGTGCGTTGCCACAAGGCATTCTTGCTCATTATAACTATTACTTAGTTAGTTTATTTAATACCTAGGACCAGAGAAGAATTTTTTTTTAAAAAATCATGTATTTTCAATACATAATCAAAAGAGCCCAACCCTAACACCAAAAGTCTGATCCTGGGGCCATAAAATTCACAATTTTGGTAAAAGCACTCTTGCTCATCATAACTATACTCTTACTTAGTTTATATAATACCCAGGAGCAAAGAAGAAGATTTTCAAAGAATTCATGTATTTTCACTATATAATCAATAGAGCCCGACCCTAACACCAGAACCCCTGACCCTTGGGCCATAATATTAACAATTTTTGTAAAAGCACTCTTGCTCATCATAACTATACACTTAGTTAGTTTATTTAATACCCAGGAGCAAAGAAGAAGATTTTCGAAGAATTCATGTATTTTCACTATATGCATGTAAGCAATAGAGGACCGCCCTTACACCAGAACCCTGACCCTGGGGCCATGAAATTTACAATTTTGGAAGAGGCATTCTTGCTCATCATAACTAAACACTTAGTTAGTTTATTTAATACCCAGGAGCAAAGAAGATTTTCAAAGAATTCAGGTATTTTCAATATATAATCAATACAGCCCTGTCCTAACAACAAAATTAACAACAGAACCCCTGACCCTGGGGCCATTAAATTTACAATTTTGGTAGAGGCACTTTTGCTTATCATAACTATGTACTTAGTTGGTTCATTTAATACCCAGGAGAAGAGAAGCAGATTTTCAAAGAAATAATGCATTTTCACTATATACTTATTTAGCCCCACCCTAGCACTAGAACCCCCTGATCTAGGGCCATGAATTTCGCAATTTTTGTATAGGACTCAATGCTGATTACAATCATGCAAACAGTTTGACTGCTTGATATCCAGGAGTAAAGAAGAAGATTTTTAAAGATTGCATTAATTTAGTGGTTTTGGTCCCACCCCTCATGCCCCAGGGGGGCAGGGATCATGAAATTCACAATTTTTGTTCCCCTTTACCTATAAATGCTTGTTCCAAATTTGGTAGTTCAGTGGTTGCAGAGAAGAAGCTGAAAATGTTCAAATGTTACTGCACGACGGACGAAAACGGATAGCAATAGGTCACCTGAGTTTACTCAGGTGACCTAAAAAGCTTCTTCCCTTTCTTTGCATACATGTAAACTTGTTGTTGGGCTCTTCAAACACAAAATGTAAAAGACTCAAATAATAATTAAAGATCATTTTTAAGATGTTACATGTATAAGGATAATCTGGCCACACTAGAAATTGTCTATATTATTGATACTGACAAAATCATACCTAAAGGGGTTCTCAACTCCTGATTTGAGTGTGGCTGCTGGTATGACATATAAGCTTTATTTTCATGTGGAGCCATTTGTTCATTCATTAATTGTTGTTGATACTGAAGCTGATGTTGATGCTGTTGATGATTTGAAGTTGTTTGTGCAGTTGGCTCCTCTATTCGCTGGATTTTGCTTCCGCTGTCGAAGCCCAAAAGATCCTGAACACCATAGTTCTGATCAGAAACCAATGCTGGTCCTAAAATAATTTTCAATGTAAAATAAAAAATTATGTACAGCATTGACAAATGTTGTGGCTCTCGGCTCTTGTGGGTCATGACATGAATCTTTTTTTTAATATTAAAAATCTTTTATATATTAGTTTTTTTACTGAGTTTTTTTAAGAAGAGTACTTTTATTTGACCAAATTAATTGTTCACTAAAATTAATTATCTCCAAGTGACGAAGTATGTCTCTACATCTGAACACAGCGTTATTTTCTTTAATAAAGATTGTTAGAGAAGTCACAGTAATCCTGCTGTGATAAGAGGGAGATATTTTTTTTTTAATCCCCTCAATATCGATCATTAAAAAATAGCCAGTCATACTATATTTTTTTTTAACTTGCTTATAGAATAGCAATTTATATCATAATATCATACACGTAGACTTAAAACCAGAAAGCCTGAAAGATACAATACTAAATTATATATGGTAATAAATAAGTTTCTATAATTCTAAAAATGCTGAAAATTAATGAAACCCAACAGCCTGAGCTAAATAGACAATCCTATTACTTTAAAAAAGACAAATATACAAAAATACACAAATATTGAAAAAAACTATTTGTTTCACTTCAAAATCTGAATAAACTATCAATTTATAAATGCAAACAATCATACTTGAACTGTTTTTCCTCTGCTGATTAAAGCTTTTCTGCTGAAAAGGTGTATAAACCTCATATTGGTTTGGTGCTGAAAGATCATTTTGTCCATTCATTAAGTATTGTTGTTGCCTTTGTTGCTTCGAAGCTTGCTGTGCAGTTGTCTGCCCTTGCTGCGGAAGAAAGTTTGCTTTAGGGATGCCCAAATAAGGATTACCACCATAGTTCTGGGGCTGTGGTACAGCTGGTCCTAAAATGTATTAAGAAAAAAAATTAATTAGAGCAAAATATTTTATTATGTAACATTAAATTTGAAAATGCACCGGTATATTATATGCCCCTAAGTCAAATTAATGAAAACACTGCTCCACCAGTCATGGAATAACGACTACAAAATTGTTCCTTTACACTCATCTCTAAGCAAAGGTAACAATTTTTCTTTAAATTTTTGCCCTTTAAAAATAACCAGAAAGGGAGTGTTCTTAACACTCTAAAATCACATATTTTCATGGAGAAAAATTTTCGAGGTTTTGGTTGGGGAAGGGGGGGGTTGGGGTTTGGGGGGAACTCTTGGTTCGTGGGGCTTTAATTTTCGTGGATGTTGAATAATTACGTAGTTATGTATGTCACATTTTACATTTCGTTGGATGTAGAATATAATGGAGTAGTTATGTATGTCACATTCTACATTTCATAGTGGACATGAATTTGTGGGTCTCTTCAAACCATGAAAACAACGAAAATTAAACCCCACGAAAATTTGTGATTTCATAGTAATTTTTAGATGCTTCTTTTTAAGTAATTTTACGTTAATATGATAATACTTGGCTCTGCTGTAACAAATTCACAGGAAACCAAATAAAATGGTGTGACTCTAGAATTCTAAAACTTATTAAAAGTTATTAAAAAGTCATTGTACTTGAAACGTTTATCAAATGCAGATTAAAGTTGGGTTGCTGAGACGGCATATAGACTTCATTTTGATTTTGTGATAATCGCTGATTTTGTCCACCCATTGAGTATTGTTGTTGTTGCCATTGTTGCTGAAAAGTTATCTGTGCAGTTGTCTGCCCTTGCTGCTCTATTAAATTTACTCGAGGGAAACTCGAATGAGGCTGACCACCACAGTTCTGGGGGTGAGGTATTACTGGTCCTAGAATACATCAACATTTATGTCAATCAGAGAAAGATAATTTCTCCAAGAATTGTTAAATCTTATACTAACAAATACAGACATTTAATTTTTCATATTTACATGTATATCTGTACAAATAATCATCTATAGTAGGATTACATGTAAGTAAATTAACCATTGTATTATTGTAATGAACACCATTTTACTCTTCATTAGGAAGAGGAGCCACCACTCAAAAAATAAAATATCTACAGGTCGTGTGCTTATAAAGTAACCCTTTGCTGACTGAGAAATAAAAAGGGCAGTGAATGTGAATATATATACATGTATTTTACTATAGTGTATATATATTGTGAAGAATATTAATAGGAATACTGACAAAAAAAAGAATAATTCATTTCCCTATCATGGATGAATAAAGATTTTTTTTTGGTATTAATCACATTTTATTAGAAATTTGAGATTGCAGGGTAGCATGTTAATTCATTCGTAAGATGATATACGTGGTAAGAGTAACGTTGTCTCTCATATCTTCTAGACAATTTACCACAATTATTACGCTACAACATTTCTTGTATCGTCCTGTCTGTTGTCCTTCAGGAATTTGAAATTGAAATTCCCTAATCATATTGCCTGAACGGTGCTTAAGCTACTTTAATAATGATGCAAGTACATGTTACAAGGTACATGTAGTGCAATAAAAGCACGTAAACTGTGACAAAGTCTGTGATTGTCAAAAAACACAACAACACTTGAAACTAACTAATACAACAGCTCACTTCTAACTTCGAATTTCCTTTTCCTTAAAAGATTTTCCCTACATGTAATAATGCATAACTGTCATCTCATTGCTGTGGCCATGACTTACCTTAAGGGAGGGGGGGGGGGTGTTAGAATATCAATTTAAGACGCTTACGTGCATATATCAACTTGATCAATGGTTCTTTTGAAGATTAAAAATAAAACATTTTCATTAATTTATATCATATTTTAATTATCGCCACCTAAAAGAAATTATGTTTTAATGGAACAAATTTGAATTCCTTTTTACCAATTTGAAAGATGTTTTAAATTGCGGTTTTATAAAGATAACAGATTATCTCCACCTGAAAGAAATTATGCTTTTAAAGAAACAAATTTGAAGTCCTTTTACCAATTTGAAAGATGGTTATAAAGATAATAGAAAGACAGAGAGACAAAATATTCTCTTAAAAGCTTTATGATAGATTGATGGGAAAGTCTATGCCATCAGATATGATATTCTTTAGACTAGCCCATCGAAATATACATATGAACCTAAAACGGAGACCTAAGATCATACCTTGCTGACTTCCTGCTGCTGTAACTGTACTGTATGTTACTGTGACAGGGGAGACATGTCGAGCAGGAGGACCAAGACTTCGAGGTTCCATTATGAGACGTTCATCACTTCATTTTGATCATAGTACACTGTACTATAGTAGATTCCGATATTTTAGATCTGAACGATCTGAAAGGATAATGCAAGGTAATAAATCAAAGCCGAATACACAGCTCGGGTGAGTTATCAATGTTTTTTTTTTTTTTTTTTTTTTTTTTTTTTTTAAAAAGGAGTGTATTGGTAATTGTAATAAAAAAAATACATCTAGAACATGGCTCTCTATTTGAATAGATTGTGATACTGTCTTCATAAAAAATTAGTTTTCAATAAGTAAAGCCCAAATTGGTCTACTCATTCTGGGAAATTTTACATGTAACAAAGAAGTTCCCTATACATTTCTTCAGTTAGAATAGGTCATTGAGTTTTTAGCTAAGCTCAGTTAAAATCCCATCTCTTTGGCCAGAGGAATTAACAACGATACAAAAAAGTCTTAGACGTGTCTGTCAGAAAGACTAGCTGTGCTCTTATTCACTGTTATTTCCCATATAACAGACACGTTAAAATATTTCTCTGTGTGCTCATTAGTGTTATGAAAAAAGCTTTTTCCACGATATTTGGCTGGACAATCCTTCTACATACATGTACATTTTAAACTACTGTACATGTATTGTAAAGTCAAGGACAAACAAAATGAGTAGAGAAAAATTTCAAAAAATATATTTTTGTGTGTGTGTAAATGTTCTTGCCTAATAAGAGAAAAGGATACAGTCAGCTATAAAGGGATAGAAGGAAACTATCTCAACGTTATCAATAAAATGGAACCTAACTCAAAGTTTGTAAGGCCATTGGGCTGAAATGGATTTGTAGCGGAGTGAATTTGAAGCTTGACCTTGGCTTTATCGTTTGCACCCTTTGGGTGGTGTATGAATAAGATTGCACCTCAGGGACAAAGATAAAATCACGGCAAGGATTTCTTTTAAAGATGGAAATGTTCTATAACATTTATGTCTTTTATATCCAAAACCAAAGAGAAGTCGAACTACAATTAATAGTACCTGTAAAATCCAAGTCAGATTAGGCAAAGTGGAGAGAAATAACCACAATTTTCGCAGGGAATATTTTAACTTCGGCTGAGAATCTTAAATGATACATTTTAACTTTGACAATTGATTTGTTGAATTAATTTATTTTTCTTTCAAAAGTAGGAAACGGTAAACTAGCATATATGCAAATAGTTGTACCTCTCTTTCTATTTTAAAAAAAATTAAAACCTATCTTCAAATGGATTAAAGATTGGTACAGTTGAATTTAAGAAATGTGTAAATTATAATCATACCTAACTCTAATTTATTAAATCTAGGTTCAAATAAATTACATCTATCTCTAATGGATTAATATCTAATTCAATTCAATTCAATTCAATTGAAGATAGGTTCAACTGAATTATACATGTAACTATCTTAAATTCTTTTGATTTAAAGATAGATACAATTGAATATAAGATTGGCAAAATTAATTTGAACATAGGTATAATTGAAACCCAACAGAATTAAAGATAGGTACAAGATAGGTACGATTCAATTGAAAATAACACCCCCTTTGACATCACCTGAACACAGAGAAAATGTATAAAGTATTAAATTTTATAGGCATTATTTGTTATTATCAGTATCTAAATAATTAAAGATAGGTTCAATTATATTGCAATTATCTTTAAATCATTTGTACTTTTCTAAAGATAAATCAGAAATAGTTGTAATTCAATTTTACCTTTCTTTAAAATTTTAAAGATAAATAAAATTGACTTGAAGATAGGTACAAATATAATTAAAGATAGGGACAAATATTTAAATATATATTAATTTGGCGTGTCATACAAAAATACCTTTTTTGATAACGGTTAAGCATGGTTAGGCCAAGGAAGATAACTTAAGCTCCATACAAGGTAAAGAACAAAGTTATTTTGACCTTTCCAGACGATTTGATCAACTTTTTTGAAAAGGATTAAATAAATAAATATAAATTTATTATTGAAAGTGTAATTTAACTGTGCTGAAGTTGAGGGGGTTTCACCTTGGACAAGTAGTTATTCAATGAGGATTTATGACCTTGATGACGATTTTTTTTTTCCACAGGCACCTGACATTACTTATTTTTCTTTTAATAAAAAGAATATACCCAACCCGTTACTTATTTTTCTTTTGATAAGAAGGATGTACACTTACCTAACAATAAACCTGTTTATTATTTGGTATGGGTATATTCTTTTTATTAAAAGAAAAATAAGTAACGTCTGGTGCCGTGTTTTTTTCTGATCTTGACTTTTGATCAAGAACATTTCCTTTTAAAAGATCACTGAATATGTTTTGCGCAAGGAGTACTCTAGTCTATGGTAGAAGTTTTTACCTCCTGTGGACCAAGAGAGAAAATATGGTTAAATTTGAGCTTACATAAGGAAAATATACTCACAAATGAAGTTTGATTGACACGACAGCTTATATATGCACAACGGAAAGGGTTTATATTACTGCATTAAATGCACACACACTTGATTTGTATACGGGGCAATTAATCCTAACTCGTTTTCACCACGAGTGCCTGTAACTAAATGGCACCTTTCTAAATAGCCAAAAAATAGTTCATGTATGTATAGGAATCAGTATTATGAGAGGGGGAAGTTAAAGTGGAGATAATGAATTAAAGAAACAAAATGACACCCCACCCCCTCCCCCAAAAGGGATATATTTATCAAAGCCGCTATATGAATTACATGTATGTTGCTGGTGCTAATGAAATCATAATACCTAAGAAGGTAAAATGAATTGCATTCATTTTACATGACAATGTGAGACTCTTCTGTTATTTTTCATCCGAAACCTTTGACCTGTAGCAAATTTAAGGTATTAAAATTTCATAAATGCTTACTATAGAATCAATCGATAATGATATAATGTATATACGTGATCAAATCAACTTAAAAATCAGTATCTCACCATCTCTTTGTTAGAATCTCCTCTTTCCATGATATGCGTATTTACTATATCACTGTATAGAAAAACCCTGTTCTATATTTAGATCTGCACTGCACTGCATCGGCCGAAAATGGGATTGCCTGTACATAGTACTTTCGTTTCGGTTTAGATAAACCATAGACCTATTCACTTTATATCTATGATAAAACCAAGTGGCATTTACTCATTAAGGATAAAATTAATCTAGAAAACAGGTATACGTAGTGTCTCAATCAAAATAAAATTAGATCTTTGATCCACTCCAGTTAGATCGCTATACACACTTTGTGTTGCGATCTAATTTGAGTGGATCAAAGATCTAATTTGAATGAGATTGATAGTATTTGAGGGAGGGGTGGAGGGCTCTATTAACACACCCAACTCCCCCAACCCCAAACATTTTCCCAATCTAAAGTGAAATTAATTTCATACATAAATATTTCCATTTCCAATTGTTTTCTCTATGATAAACACTACAAAAGTGTATCTTGTTAATTTCATGATAATACCCTGTGGTATGTATATTTCTCTATTACTGAAAGGTCAGGTGTCAACCTGCATGTATATCACTGGCGTATAAATATACTCAAGAAAAAATAGATGTTTTGTTTAATTGTTTACTAATTAATTTGATATGATATATCTTTTTAACAAACAAAATAAATAATGAATTATCTTCGGCTCGAAAGCAAGTCACTAGCGCAACGCTGTCCACTATCAAATATAATTAGTTTTACAGTAAAAGCGAGGCCTTGCGAGTCCGAGAACTCCACTTCCGTAACAGCCACGTGGAGAAATTGACATTGCCACATGGATCTGCACGTACTCCATCATCTGATGCAGACATCGTCCCTTAGTCATTACCATCCGACTTTAAGCAACTCAACTTCTTCTGTTATTATAACATCCATACAAATCGGTTTCCTGACCATACTGACCAGCTCCCGTTTCATCAACTGCATGCAAAATTGCATTCAATATGGCGGCGGAGAAGTGACATAGTGCTGATATATGTTCGTGCTTCCGACAACCTAAATCTAGGTCACATATATAATTAAAGTCAACAAGATTTCTTTGATCATCATTTAAAATTCTTTTGTTGTTTATTTTATAAATGTTGATATTTGACTACGGTAAATATAAATAGTCAATAAATTTGTTTCGTGTTTTTGGGACTATTTTTTATAGTAAAATTTGACGTCATGGGGCCTTGTGCATTTCAAATCTACTCAATTAGACGGTATTTCGATTTATTTTAAGATGGTTATTTCAAGTAAAAATGGAAATATAAGGAATCACTGTCTAGTTTTGAGGATATGCCAGGGACATCAACAATAGTGGGAAACATGGGATAATTTTAGCAAAACGGGCTTCGCCCGTTAAGCAAATTATCCCATGTTTCCCACTATTGTTGATGCCCTGGCATACCCTCAAAACTAGACAGTGATTCCTTAAATGTAAATATAAGGAATGTTTATAAGTTTTTAGTGTGAATAATTGGTGCGCGCTTCATGAGATATGCCTACGTGACAAGTCTGTATGATGAACACACCAATAACTCACACAAAACTGAAAAAAAATTCTGAATGTAAATCTAAATTCCACATATGAGTTATACTTTGTAATATCTCAAACATGCCATAGAGTGGCCCTTTTAAATTAAATTTCTCTGGTTTATTAAACTAAGTACACATCAAAACAGTAATTTGGTAGTTACCTCTTCTGTCAATTTAGAACTTAAATCATTTCATTCAGAAAGCAAATAATCAAGTCATTTTTAGAGATATAACTTGCAAACAGCTGATTTACTCAAATCTAATAAATATACTGTCATATTAAACATACGTATGTATTATTCACGGGTAAGTTCTAACCTTTTCGTTCATTCAGGTACACCATATGTTGGGTTTTTTTTAAATTTCTTAAATAAGTTGAGCTTTTCATCTTTGCAATGTTCATGTACCAGATATTTCATTTAAACTTTTCAAATATTACTCTTTCTATTTATTAGGATTTATAACCAAGCTGCAGTTGCTGTTTATTTCTGGGCTGCTAAACTTAACTTACTGTACAATGCATTATTATTCACTGGTAAGTTTACACCTGGCCTGTTCATTCATTCATTCATGTACAACAAATGCTTGCCTTTTTTATATTTCTTTAATAAGTTGAGCTATTTTTTTCGCAGACAACAAGAAATTTCATTTAAACTTTTCCAACAAAGGAGATGGGTTAATATGACGAGCAAAAAGCCTTTTGCTTCACAAAGATGAAGGTGAAAAACTGGATTTTGCGTAATATTTCATCTAACATGAATGTATACTTTATGTAATATCTACAACTTCAAAAAATCTTACAGTAGTGTAGACAATTCCATTAATGTAAACAATTTCAGTAATGTAAACAATTCCAGTAATGTAAACTATTTCAGTTATGTAACAATTCCAGTAATATAACAATAACAATTGCAGTAATGTAGACAACTTCAGTTGTGTAAACAATTCCAGTAATGCAGACAATTCCAGAAATGTAGACAATTCCAGTAGTGTAAACAATTACAGTAGTGTAGACAATTCCATTATATGTAGACAATGCCAGCAGTGTACTCAACTGCAGTTATGTAAACAATTCCAGTAGTGAAAACAATTACAGTAGTGTAGACAATTCCATTATATGTAGACAATGCCAGCAGTGTACTCAACTGCAGTTATGTAAACAATTCCAGTAGTGAAAACAATTACAGTAATATGAAAAATGCTGGTAATGTGAACAATTCCAGTAATGTAAACAATGACGGTAATGTAAACAATTTCAGTAATGTAAACCATTCAAGAAATCATTAATGTAAACAATTTCAGTAATGTAAACAATTCCAGTAATGTAAACTATTTCAGTTATGTAACAATTCCAGTAATATAACGATAACAATTGCAGTAATGTAGACAATTTCAGTTGTGTAAACAATTTCAGTAATGTAACAATTCCAGTAAAGTAAACAATTCCAGTAATGCAGACAATTCCAGTAATGTAGACAATTTAAGTAGTGTATATCTCAGCAGACTCCGGGAGTCATGGTTACATTGTCTATAGCGATGTCACCCTGATAACTCCATCCTCGGATGCCTTTGATGTCAACCTGTAAATACATGTACACATGTATTTGCATACCATATAACTTTCTGTCTATACTATAATGAATTCATCGTTTATGACGACATGAATTATTTTAGCGTATTAAATTGATTACCAATTAGGTTTTGAAATATCTAAAAACCACTTTTAATTTTCTCAATCTACTGTAACTAGGTATGTGTTCAATTCAAACAGATATATCAGACAAATATTAATTTGCACATTTTTATGGGAAAAAAAAACTCAATGTCATTCATATGATTTCAATTTCAGAGCTTTATCTAAAGTAAGGTCATTTTGTCTCCCATTGTCAGTCTTTGTTCTTTTTCTTTAATTCCTTATTTCCGTTTTCAATACAAAATTTAACCCGTTATATAATTCATTGTTTTAGGCAATTACAGTAAAAATATATATCTTGTTTGTCAAAACAAAATAAAATTTGAAACAATCTCCAATAAATGTTATAAAGCCCACATTATTTTCGTCCTGATAATTGTCGATAATATGTTTTATTTAGGCTTTCTATTCATGATATGCATCTTTGCAAAGAAATGCACAATTTAAAGAAATATGCAATAAGCAATAAAACAAAGTAAAATTACCCCCCCCCCCCCCAAAAAAAAAAAATAAAACCTATCAGGTCAATTTTATCAAAATTATAAAAATTCTTTCATTTACCACAAGGTTAGCCGTTGAAGGAATGGTAACCCTTTGAGTAAGCCAGTTGATTCCCTTATTTCCAGATGTATACCATAAGGTGGACAGTGATCCAGACGATCCAGCATTCACTTGTAATGTTCCAATATGTCTGCCATACATATTGTACGCGAAGGAAAGGCACCATGTCTGCTGGGCTGTATTTATTTAAAATAGGAATTGAGAAGTGCAATACTCAGAGGGCAAACTTTTGATGTTAGAAATGCCGTATTTTATATATACAGCGAAAACTGTCTAATCTGAATTATCCGACACACTGTGAATTACGAAGTTAAATTTCTTTCCCATTTTTACATTTTCCTTGTGTTCAACACTTTGCAATCTGACACCCTGTCTATTCCGACACAAAATATGTCTCCCAGTGCATGTCGGATTAGACAGGTTTCATTGTATTTATTAGCAAAGTCTGGAGTATATACTTACCAAACACTGTCCCTGTTGTGGTCAGTATGTAGGTGGCTCCCCAGCGTTGACCAGAGGCTTCAGTGTAAGCAAACGTCCCATCAATAGGTAACTGGGGACCTGTGAAGCGGCTTGGCGTGCTCTATAACAGAAATGTATTACTAACAATCTGGATACACTACATTCCTCTTATTAGATTAAGAATTTGATAGGGAGATCCCATTTCGGAAATTTCCGTGGGTTCGTGTTTATTTTTTTACGATTATATTCACTGTCTGTTCGTTTTTTAATATGAGAAGAAAGATTTTTATGATTTTTCCTATATATTTCAATGTAAAATTTGGGATCTCTGTTGTGGCCCTCCCTACCACCATCAGTTTATAATTTTGATAATTCAGAATCTACCCTACCTGAAGATAATTCTACATAAGTTTCAACTTTTCTGGCCCCGTGGATCTTAAGAGGAGATTTTCAATGACCCCATCCTATTTTTGTCTTTTCTTGATTATCTCCCCTTTATTTCCCCAAAGGATGCTTTGTACCAAGTTAAGTTAAAATTTAACCATGTGAAATGTTAAAAGTTTACAGACGGACACACAGCTAGACAGACGGACGGACAACAGAAAAAGTGGGCTCAGGTAATATAAAAACTTAAAAACTTTGATTTCATCTCTCCCTTTTTCTTTGACCTTTCTCCTACCTCACTTTCTCTTAGACCCAGTATCAGCATACCTCGATATAGTACTAATGAAACAAAAGGCCCATGAGCCACATCGCTCACCTGAGCATATTGGTTAAAAAAGCACAACCAGTTCAGTATTGAAAAGTAGGGCTTGAATTTTTAACTACCTGAGAATCCTTCCTTATCGATAACAATGGCTTTACTGTTCTTGAACAGAAGATTTTTTCCCCCTATATATTCCTATGTAAAAAATCATCTCTATTTTTGCCCCTCCCTACCCCCTGGAGTCATGATTTGAACAATTGCGAATGTACACTGCATAATAATGCTTCTGTTAAAAGACGAGAATTTGCCTATATCAGAAAAAATAATTTATTTTGTATTGATTTGAACAAATTTGATTCTTAACTACATGAGAATGCTTCAATTTAAATAAGAACAATATGGTTTCGCTTTTCTCCAGATTTTTTCCTATATATTTTAAACTTTGATTTTTAGTTGTGGCACCACCCTACCCCCGAGGGTCATTATTTGCACAAATTTGATTCTACACTACCTGGGATGCTACCACCTAAGTTAATCAATCCTGGCCCAGTATTTCTTGAGAAGAAAATTTTTAAAAGCTGTCATTAATTTTTCACTAATTAACTCACAATTATCTCTCCTTGAAAAAGGGTGTGGCTTTTCATTAAACAAGCTTAAATCCCCATCACCCAATTATAATTTGTGGCAAGTTTGGTTAAAATTGGCCAAGTGGTTCTTGAGAAGAAATGTAAAAAGTTTACAGGCGGACGGACAGACGGACGACGGTCAAAATGTGATAAAAAAAACTCAGTTGAAGCTTTGGCTCAGGTGAGCTAAAACAAACTATCCTTGGAACATATAATATATGTTTTGTCGCCAGTGATCATTCTGGCAGTATGGACCAATAGACGACAATGCTTATTGCACTGAGGAGCATGTAAACCTCAAATTCGCTAGCGACATTTTGTGCAGAGAAGGACCCTTCTTACCTGCAGAATGTGTTACATAACTTATATATATACAGCTATATATGTATATTTTTTTGTGAAACACTGATGATCCTGTATGTCTAAGAAAATTAACCTCCAAGATCAAGGTCAAAGGATAAAATTGTTGGTATCAAGAAAAAGGTCTTTCCACAAAGAATAAACTTTGTACTGAATTAATATGAGACAAGATGTGTTTGTGATACATTATGCGCCCAGCGACAACAAAAATCGAAAGAGCTATTTTTAGCATATAGGAAACAGTCAATGTCACAAAGTCATTGACTTTGGTGTCATTTGAAAGAACTTGATAAGTGAAGTATACACACCAAATATAAAGAGTCTACAAAGAATAAACTTTGTACTGAAATTCATATAAGACAAGATGTGTTTGTGAAACATTATTTGCCCGGCGACAACAAATTCAAAAAAAGATATTTTTAGCATATAGGAAACAGTCAAGGTCACAAAGTCATTGAGCTTGGTGTCATTAAAAAGCTTTTTTTAGCATATAGATCACAGTCAAGGTCACCAGGTCATTGACGTTGATTTCATTGTAAGAACTTAATTAGTGAAGTACGCATACCAAATATGAAGTCTCTACCTAACATTGTTCAAAAGTTATGGTGAAGGTTAAAGTTTGAAGACAAACAGACAGACAGACACACAGACAGACAGACAGGACAAAAACAATAAACGCCTCGGATCCATCTATCCGGGCGCATAACAACATAACAACATATAGTACTTATTATTCAGAAGTTATGGCTATTGCAGGGTTAGAGGTTTTTACAAAGTGGGCAAAATTCTTAGGTCAAAGTTAAATATTTGATAATAGTACCATCAGAAAGTCTTGTCATAATTAATACACAGTATTACTTAAGTATGATAGTCCTGGCACAAAAGTTCAAAAGTTATAACCAATGTAAATGTTTAGGTTTTTTTAAATGGATCTTACTCCAAGGTTAAGAGGTTAAATATGATAGTACCGTGCGAAAGGTCCTGTCACATCGAATACCTGTGAAATATGAAAGCCATAGTCCCAAGCATTCAACATTGTGGGTAAGGTTAATATATTTGCGGACAAACAGACAAACGGACGGAAGGACATGATAACAACTACATATATACCCCCATTCCCCGTCATTCAACATTGATCCTGAATATTTTTTTAATGAATAACTTTTATGATCTAGGTTAGCAACAATTGAAAGCTAATTACCGTTCCAAACGACCAGTCTGCAGAGTCATGGTTGGATTGTACCAGGAAAGAGCAGCTACCTCCAGTAAAAGTACAGGATGTAGTTCCAACTGAAAAAGCAAGGACAAGTCTCATTCAAGGCTTATTTGTGGTCCCCGGTTACTCATCAAATTTCATTTATCAAAGGCTTTAAAAATTAAATATTATTAATATATAATGTCTTTATTATTTGAATCTTCATCTAAAAATGCCAAACAATTAATTTACACAGCATACGAAGCTGCGTTTTGAAGTCTGGGTCCTTTGATTTTTATGAATATCAAAAGAAATCACTGACAGGTACACACTTTCAAGCTTTCTTAAACACCGAGCACAGATTTCTTCAGAGTCGAGTTTGATATATATTGTGTATATCATATTTTTAAAGGTTGAGTAAAAATATCTTTGTTGAACAACCTTGTGCTGTATGTTTTTTAATTAAAAGTATTGTGATTTTGAACATCGTCGCTGTCTTCATGTACATGCGATTAGCCTCTTTATGACCTGTTTCGAACTACAACAAACCACGTGGATTTGTGTCGTAAACAGGTAAATGCCCACAGTAAATGTGCTAGGAAGCACTCGGTTGAAATGTACTCAGTCGATCATGTATCGGTCAGCATATGGACTTGTTTGGTTAATCTTGTTATAGTGGTTCATTCACATTGCTAGAGTTTTGTGCATTGAAAATTGTATTTGTTGTTGATTGTGAATCTTGAACATATAATTCGTCTTTGAAAGGAAAATTTTATGTATCACGGGTATTCTTTCTATAGTATCTAAATGTCATTGAAACATGACATTGTTTAAAGTTAACCTTTATACAGATATTATGGATAGTCGTGAGATATATTCATCTAAGTGTGACCCAATACAATTATACATACCTATATTGTCACAGTTGGTTCCACCGTACCCAGTGGCACAGAGACATGAATACCCGCTTCCACTGCCGCTACTGGTACACGTCCCGCCATTCAGGCATGGGTTGGCAGTGCAACCTATAATACGTAAGGGGTAATGTACCCAAATGATCCTTAAATGTAATGGAGATGAGGCCCCCAAGGGACCGAGGCCAAATACTTTTAAGGAATAGACCCTATAAATAAACTTGAAATAAAACCTTTAACAACAATTAGGAAAAAAAGTTTAAAAATTCGCTAAAAATATTTATGACATCAATACTTCTATTTGGATATTTGACATGTACATTATAAGTGATGCTATATTGAAATCTCAAATAAAATGTGGGTGTAAAATGGCATCATAAACAAAAGAGTGACGGCACAGGTGGATTTTATTATTTTTCTGCAGTTAAGTGTGAAGTTTTGCGATGCATCACGAACTCTTCCGTCAGATGCATCCAGCGTTAACAGTTTACGTGATTGGTCAACTCATATTATCAACATTGACATGGAAATAGTCTGCTGTACGATCAACCAATCAGGGTTGTAAGATAAGAAGAAAGTTCCAGTCGTAAAGCTTGCGGTTAGAAGGCGTGTACAATTTACCCTGAGCGCAGCCGTCAACTACATGTAAATCGTGACGTAACGTAAAATATCGTACTTAAACACTTAACTGCAAACTATAATACCTAAGGAAATTTGAACGTTTTTATTGGAATGCTGTTTAATGAGAAATTTTAAAATTTATACGATGCATTCAAACCGAGAGCATGAAGTAAGAAAGAAATATATGTAGAGGCAGTGTGAATCGTATTGTAGGTTGACTTAAAATAAATACATGTTTTTAAACCAAAAAAGACCAATGGGGGTACAACGTATACAAACCGTTTACCTTTTCTCTTATAATATATAGTGGGTTATTTTGTGTGGAGCAATTATTTTGGGGGTTTACTATTTTTTTTACCTATTGTACAAAAGATGAATAAGTGTTTTTTGTTTTGAACAGATTTTATTGTATAAACAAAAGGATTGGAAACAAGTTCTTTCAATAAGTGTAATAAATATAACTTGTAAAAAAAATGCCATAAAAGCCCTGGGGTTGAATATCGGGGGAGGGGGGGGGGTCCTGCCCACAAGTACCTGTGTTTTATCCTTTTCCAAATCACATCTGATTTGTTACCTAAAGCAACACAACAAAAATCTTAAAGACCGAGTTCTTGTTCCTACTTACCACAGTTCCCTTCTGTGACCGTCACAGCATCTATTGCGATATCACTCTTATAACTCTTCCCTCGTATTCCTTCTATGTAAATCTGTGGGTTTAAACATTTCAGAAATGTAAAAAATTTGACAGTTAAGCCATTGTTAAAACTTTTTCCGATATTTATTATCCATTTGATGACCTACCACTAGTCCACTTGTCGGTGGGATTTCTACGGCTGCTAACAACCACTGGTCTCCTTGATTTCCACTTTTTGTAAAGATATTTTGCACATGGCCTGAACTACTGGAGTAATATACATTCAAAGTTCCCATGCCACGAGCAGAACCGAACATGTGATAATAAAAACTTATACACTGTAATGTTGCTGAAATAAAACCAACGAAATATACATTAAAATCATACTAATAACCGTTTTAAGGTAGAACCTACGTAGGAAAAGTCTTAGTCACAAGATTTTTAAACTATCCAAAATGATAAATTAGAACTTGCTTATCAATTAGTTTAAAACTCATGGTATGTTTCCTTGTTTTTAAATATAGTACAGCCTGTGAAACTTGGTATGGTATTTACATACTGCGGCTACATATTTTCAGTTATTTTTTGGGGTACTTGTCAAGAAGAGAATTTGAAATAACACAAAAATACCTCTTCAAACATCGTTGCTTATAGACTCTATTAACCGAACAATATTAAGCAAAATTTCTCAAGAATAATTTTTCCACTTTAAAAAAAAATATGCAAATGGACTCTTTTTCTTTTTAGTCAATTCTCCACCCTACATTTGTAAATATTTTTCAAAAGTCTTTGTCACAATGTTTTCAATCTTTAATATGATGAAAAACATACCCAAGCGATTACAAAAAGCCATTAAAATATATACTTTTCCCCTCTAACTAATGAGAGATAGGCTATTTACCGATACTACTTTTCTTGACCTTTTTGCACTTACACGGGATTTAATTATTAAGACTGTTTGGGGTTACTTTCAGATCAAACATGTTTATCAAAAATTGTACTTTTAATTTAAAAAGATCATATTTAATAGAAAAAATGTAATCAAACACCAAGAGTATGAATAAGTAACAATTAATTATCAAAAAGAATGCACATCATTTCATTATAGATATCACAAAAATCTACACACGATTACAAGATGTACAACATATACGTACATCTTTGACTTAGACACATTTTATATTACACTATTTAGTTGGCAACTGAAGATTTCTCTGGATTTTTGCATTCCTACAAAATGGTATATACCATTCACATTATTACAGTGATTTGTATACATTGTAATTTCATTACACAAGATAGTCTACTGTCTTGGATTTGTCAACTTAATTAAGGTCAAGATCGAGTAAATGAAAGGTGCCTACAGGTTTCTCTTATTCCAGAAATATATTGTCATTAAAGCTGACATGAACTCTTAAAAAGGCATCAGTTTTCATCTTTGTACGACTTACTACGTTCCTGTACGCCCTTGTCCGCCATATTTCTTCGATTCCGCCATATTAAATCGAAAAATTTGGGCCACCTGTACCTGTTATATAATAGTCCAGTCATTTTAGCCCAAAAATCGCTAAACTTGCAACTAATTGCAAAAGAATTGTTTTCAATGATTTTGACTTCACTAATATGTGTACTACAACATTAAAAAAATCTAATGTTCTACATGAAGTGGAAAAACATTTTTTTTGGGCCAAAAACAAGAAAAAGATCGAAAAACCGACAAAAACTGGAGATTTAGCTTTTCTTCATTATTAATCAAATAAGAATACAATTTTTAGTTTGGCAATTTTAAATTTTAGTAAGAAATAATAACTGTAAAATTCTCATATAATAATTTGACTTTTTAAGAATATTTTTAAGGAGGAATGTTCTAATTTTAGTGTAAAAAACAATGAAAACTGGAAATATTTGTAGTTTTCATTAATAAGATTGAAATATACAAATATATATACATGTATAAGAAATATATTCTATTACAATGAGGTTTTGTACTGTTTATCAATTTAGAAATACTAGAAACCAAGGGAAGGGGCACATGAAGGGGGGGGGCGTGCCCCTAGCTTTCCCCAGTATTTTCCCGCAAAAATTTCCAAGAAAAAAAACATGACACTTCAGTCTCAATGGCATTGAAAATAAATCATATCATTAATCTTATTCATTACATTATCTTAAATTTTTTTCTGAGAAGAAACCCTCCCCTAATGAAATACTATTTATTCGATAACCTAAATGTTGACCATAACGGTGACTGACCACCAGGTTATATGTACACTTACATGTATGTAACTGTTTTAGCATTGATAATTTTCATGAGAATTGTCAGTTTAGATAATATTCTGTTAAACAAAATGTCAAATGAATGCAAAAATTCTATTCCCGTCAATTTCCAGTTATGAACAAGATTGATTGATGTATACTGTTTAACGTCCCTCTCTAGAATATTTCACTGATATGGAGACGTCACCCTTGCCGGTGAAGGGCTGCAAATTTAGGCCTATGCTCGGCACTCAGGGCCTTTGAGCAGGGAGGGATCTTTATCGTGCCACACCTGCTGTGACACGGGGCCTCGGTTTATACGGTCTCATCCGAAGGACCGCCCCATTTAGTCGCCTTTTACGACAAGCAAGGGGGTACTGAGGACCTATTCTAACCCGGATCCCCACGGGGCGTTATGAACAAGAAGTAGAATGTCTAATTTTTTCTTTATTAAATTAATTTGTGTCGTCTCCATCATCTGTGCTCTTTGTTGAATTGGAGCAACTTGTTCCTCTACAATGGCCGCATCCAATTGTACATTGTAGGCCATGTTTCTGGCACGTGCATCTCTTTGTGTCACAATTTACCTTACAATTACAGTGAATGATATTCAGAAGACGATTGGGAGCAGGCGGCAAACTGTTTTTAAGTGGCATGCATTTGCCTTCATCAGTAACTGTCCAGCCCCAATCAAGTGGATTCAGATCAATGCGATCGAGTTTTATCCACTGCTGACACTGATAGTATGACCTTCTTGAATGCAACTCTGCAGAATCAGATGTTGGTGGCAGACTCTGTACCTGAACGCATTTATTGTTAGTTATAGCCTTGTTGGTATACAAACGAAGCCTCAGAAGATCCAGTCCTTCGTGTGGCACTCCTCCATAAAGGCAGGCAATAATTTGTTCACCACTCGCTACGACAATTTCCAGACTATTGTCAGGCTTCAAAAATTCCTCCATTGCCATTGTAACATAATTTGTTTTTGAAAGCCTCTTGAATGCGACACCTTTCCCTATCCCAAATAGCCGAGAAGTTGTATCACATCCCGTGATTCCGTGGACCAATGGCAGAACTTTGCATTTGTGTGTACCCAGCATTCGCTTGGTTTTTTTAATGTCCCAGCATCTGCACTTGTTAGAAAGTTCAGATTTGAAGTAGATGTGGTGCCCATCCAGAGATACATGGTAGCAGAGGAGAACAAGAAGATCGGTGTCCTCGCCAATGACAACGACATGTGTGGACCTAGCACAGACAACAGCTGTTGAAACAATGAGACAATCTGCATCCTCCTCTGCGAGGATGACCGTGCATTCATCTTCCCGGAGTCTTTGAGCAAGAAGTCTTATAAAACGAGACTTATTGTTGTTATTTGTGAGAAAGACTTCTTTCTTGGATTTGAAGGTCATATCAGAAGTGAATGTTACGTCAGGGGAGATGATGCCTTTTGAGCGTCGAAGATGGATCACATCTTTGGTCGATGGTTCACTGGTATATCCATCAAATACAACAATTGGCTTTGAGTATCTCCTTTTAATATAGTCAACATACAGCTGACATATGGCATTGAATGACATGCCTTTTGTCCATGGGATGCGCTGTAGCAGAGAACCACCATCCAAAACAAATTGCACATCATGCAATTCATCTTCCGATACAGCACAGTCCCCCATACTCCAAATAGCATCAGCGATTTGTGGCTTATTTGCTGCTCTTGGAAGTCCTGAAGGCTCAAAGATCGATGAAGGATGCGTTGATAATTCATATTTGAAGATGTCTGCAACACCTTCAGCAGATTCTCTTGACGAAATTGCAGTTAGTCTTTGAAAAAGGACCTGGGGATCAACCTCAACCCTGTCTTCCTCAACCGAGATAGACGTTTTAGAAGACATAGTTACAACCTGCATTGACTTTTTGAAGGAAAAATCAAACATATTCTGACCAACCATAGAGTCAATGATCTTGCGTCCACAGGCCACTGCGTTATGAGCGTTGATATTGTTGTCTGCATTTACACCAGTATCGATATTCCGAAGAGGAAGGCTCTCTGTAAAAGGGTCACGGTCTCTTAGGTATGAGATAACTTTGATTATATCTTGCATGTCCCTCTCTTGGCGAGATGTTGAAGACTCCTTGTGTTGTTCACTTGTGTGATACCCAACATCTGTCAGATTCTGCATAGCCTCATTTACTGCTGCACAAGAAGGCATGGACAAAAGCCACTGAGACCGTTGTACTTCTGTCATTCCTCGTCCTCTTGTCAAACCACCTGATGTTTTTACACTTCTTATTAATGCCTGTTCAATGACAAGATCACAGGATAGACCCGCCCAATACCTGTCACTTCTTCTCAAAACATGATAGCCTTCCAAGAACTTGTTGTATACATCGGGATGATCTTTCTGAAGATTAATCATTGACATAACATAAATATATGCCGACTTTGCATACATATTATGTCCAGCTGCAGCAAAATATGGAAGCATTGCATGTAGCGTTTGTATATGGAGAAGCCAATTGCCAGTTCTTTCAGCTGTGATAAAGGATTTCAAGAGGCTTATCATTTCCAAGTACTGAAGCCAGAGGGCTGCTGTTTTGAAGCACTTAGGAGAAGATCTTGTGTCTGCCAGTTTCTCCAGTATTTGTGCTACAATATGATGATTGCAAACGTCTTGTGCAGCAACATCTCCCTCTAGCAACTGGTCATACAAGGCAGCAGCTTGCTTGAGCAGATGGTTTTCTTCCAGTTGGATCGTAGAAACGTCTGCAGATTCAGCAAGAATACGATCAGGGGCCTCTGTGTCACTGGGTGTTACATGAAAGCCGTAAGATATATTCTGGGACACATCATTATCAGGCAATTCAATGCCAAACGTCTTAGCCACAAGCAAGGTATGAAGGGCTGTGTCAACTAGAAAATGGGCACGAGTTGCTCGAGCTACTGCTTTTCCACTAAGAATATGACCAACTGCATTTGGCGCATATACAATCTCCAACACTTCTTGCAATCCTGATTCTCTCATAATATGTCCGATACATCCTAAAAAGCTCATTTGTGTGTGAAACCCACCT